TGATTTAATAGTAATTTGGATGTAGAGATATTTGTTAGGAGGTATAATAACTCTAGAAGAGCTGATTGGCTCTTAATGAAAGTAGAAAACTAACTGTGGGATTCTAAGTCTTAAATCTCCGTTTAAAACATATGGTAGTCTCTTTTTTGTCAAAGGGATGGGAAAGGGACAGGGATGACTATACGTTTTTTGCAGAGGTTTTGGTGTCAGAAACCCACTATAAGTTGTTCCACATTATATTATCATCTAAAAAAATAGCAATATAAGAGTTTGTAGGTATCGTTTTAACTTATTCAGTAAGGTTAGTTTTACTAATCATGTTTTTTTCTGACAATCTTGTATCTTGTACCATCCGAGGTCTCGTGTCTACCCACGTTGCGTTGCCGATTCCAAGAACTTGTCATCAAAATATTTAGCTTAGTTAACTTTCATTTCTTTTACAAGATGTAACATTTTATAAGTATTGTTAAGAAGAAAATCCGACACTGTGCCGGTGTACAGGAACAACACTAGCCTTACTAAAATGTCGACGTTTATGTCCCCTCACTAATCATTCTGACACTTGACTTTGTGCGCCATTCGCGCCAAAGGATTCTAATTTATTTAATTAAAAAACTACAGGATAGACAAATCAAATCAAATTTATAATATTAGTAAGATGTGAGAGAATAGAGGATAATTTTTATAGATTACTAGCTGTCGCTCGCGACTCCGTCCGTGCGGGATTAAAAAATAGATGGCCGATTTTCAGACCTACTCAATATGCTCACAAATTTTCATGAGAATCGGTCAAGCCGTTTCGGAGGAGTATAGGAACGAAAATTGTGACACGAGAATTTTATATATAAGATATGAGCCGAAGTAATATGCGGACGAAGTCACGGACAGCATATAGTCTAATATCAATCATCATCATCAGCTCACTATACGTCCCCACCGAGGGGCTCGGAGCCTACCCTAAGTTAGGGGTGATTAGGCCATAGTCAACCACGCTGGCCTAGTGCGGGTTGGTTGACTTCACACATATCTTTTGAATTTCTTCTCAGATATGTGCAGGTTGCATCACGATGTTTTCCTTCACCGTAAGAACGTCGGATAAATGTACATATGTAAATCGGAAATCGAAAAACACATTGGTACATGGCGGGATTCGAACCCAGGACCTGCAGATTGCAAGTCAAGTGCTTGACCACTGAGCCACCGACGTATATCAATCATATTTATTACAAATTATTCATTATTTTATTGCGAACAACAAAGAAAACTTCAAGGTCATCTTGTGACGTCAAACGAAAACGTTATAAGTTTTATTTATGAACTAGTCACCTTTTAAATCAATCAAACCGCAAGTGGTGGTGAGTGAAGAATAATAATCTGTATTATTCATGGTTTTGCTATACATCTTACTAATAAAAATGCGAATGTTTAGATGGATGTTTGTTTGAAACTATTTCCAGAACAGCTGTATGGATCTCATTGTATTTGACATAGACGTAGAACATAGTCTGGAAGAAAATAGTTTACTAGTTTCGAGCCCATCGCACAGTGAGCGACGGGCCGCGTCCGCGAAATAATACCAGTACCACTCATCCTGATGAAGGGCCCCCGATGGGCTCGAAACTAGTCGGTGCCGTCACCGGACGTATATACGTGAGCGTTTAGTCGTGTTTATATATCTGTTTAGTAATGGTTATATTATTTGGTTAGAAAAAGTCTTTCATTAAAATTATTAAGGAATCTTATAGTTTTAGCGTAACTTCTCGTTTGTTTGTAGTTTGGATTGGAATCCGGTGAAACATTCTACGTATGAAATTATTTAATAATAAAATCATAATCATTGTCTACAAACAAAGATAATAAAATCGATTTAGTTACAACGCACGTTTAAAACATGCAATGACTCATAGTTATTATACTGATATTATAAATGCGAATGTTTGGAAGGATGGATTTAAAAAGGTATCTCCAAAACGGTCGCATAGATTTCGTTGTAATTTGACATATATGTAGGACATAGTCTGGAAGAACACATAGACTACAAAGTTTTTTTTTAAATTCTACTCCGACAAAATCGCAGATGACAGCCAGTTTTAAATAAAATGTGATTGATGTATAAATAATCATTGTTTTATTGATTTAACATTCGTAGGCACAAGCGGCGTGCAATTTTCCTGAAACATGCACACAATTTGCACAACGACCTTCCGGTCTCGTTAAAGAATACACTGATTACAGAAGCGACATTATGTATATTCTTAAAGATTCATATATATGTAGTTTTAATAAGATAAATATCTCTGTCTGCGTCTTTTTAATACATTCCTCGGTCCCCTTCTTGACATTCTTTAGGTGTTTTTCAACACTGCGATTATTTTATTTTACTAATTTATTGCGAACTATTTTATATCGAAGTTTGATAGTATCTAAAAAATAACATATCCTTATTACACGCAATTGAACTCAATTCGCAACGCAATGAATGTTACAAATACGTTCTTGTATGTACATACATATAATATATAATTATAAAAAAGTAATACAATATTTATACAAATAGAGCACTTATATGAAAAATACACACACGTAGAGGATTCAAATGTAACAAAGAAATATTGAGTCATTGACCATCTATCAAATTTAATCTTTGACCTGCGCCTGCGCATTATAAAGTATCACATAAAGGTCGTAATACAAACACAAACACATCGTCCATCCGTTGATAGACGGTCAGTTGAAAGCAGACGCGCGAGTCGGTACAACGTTAGCGCGCGAATATTTAAATTTTGTTCTTAATTTCAAAACAAAATAAAATGCTGTTCTACGTCACCGTGGCTGTGCTACTGGCCAGTGTCCAGGCGAAGTTTTACTCGGATTGCGGTACTTATTTTAATTTTTTAATCTATATTATTTTTTATTTGACATTAGATTTGACATAGTATATTTTGTTTTCAATTAATCAAATTTGACCACGATCTCATCCGATGTGTGGTTGCCATAACAAGTTGTTTTTGTATTTATAATCTTTTATTTGTTCTGCCAGTCGTTCTTATCGTATTTGTTTACATTAAACAATTTGTTTTTAACTTTTATATCTGTATTTGTCACCACTTCTTTTAACACAATGCTGTTCTTCCATTTATACACGCTTATTCAATTTTAACTTAATACGTAAAGGGTTTCATAGTTCAATTTGTCATTTAGATTCAAAGAAGTCAAATTAAGTCAAAATGATTTAAGTGTAACATGTGTACAGATTTATCTCTGTACAACTGTGGGCCTATATGTTTGCTACAATCGCCTTTGCCTTTGCATCGACATTGTGAATTATCTAAAAATTATTATGCGATTTTTGATGTACTTTATGCCCGCTACAAAAAGTCAATGACGAAACGATGACATTTGTCAGAAATATTTGTGATAAACCCATTGTACAAATATTATACTTCTTAATAAGTATTATAAATGCGTATGTATAGATGGATTTTGTGTTTGAAGAAATATCCAAAATGGCTGTACGGATCTCACTGAAATTTGGCATAGATATAGAACATAGTCTGGCAGAACACATAGGCTACTAATTAAGTTTTTTTTTAATTTCCGCACGGACAGAGTTGCGGGCGACAGCTATTAATCTATTTTTAGTACTGTTAGTTCATATGCATGCATTATCATCCCTTTCACACTCTTAAAAAAAAGATATGATAATATTTTATGTGCCAGTGTTTTTTTTTACATGAAGTTCATATATATCGCATAGAACCTTGAAGTGCAAATAAATCGGAGACACTTAATCTTTGTGTCACTACACATATAGTGCTCATTTTAATATTTGCATTATACTAAAATTCTACATATAAATTCGTCAAAGAAACATACTATATTTACTGACAAGGATATCTGACCCGTTAGGTATAAGTTAAAGTAAACATTAAAATTAAAATTTACTCCTAAATTATTCAAACTTTCGTGAGACATTATACTAAACTGATATAAAAACGGCTAAACACTCACGTAATAAATAATACCAGTACCACTCATCCTGATGAAGGGCCCCCGATGGGTTCGAAACTAGTCGGTGCGGCCACTGGACGAATAAACGTGAGTGTTAAGCCGTTTTTATATCAGTTTAATTTACTCCGTAAAATACTAAGAGTCGTAAGCGATTATTTAACAGATGCACAATGTATCAAAACATTTCCATTGAGGATGTTACGTGAAAGAAAGCAATTCGTAACATGCACGTATTAAAAGATTACGAAATGTTTAATAATCTAACCTTACCTACGTGAGTAAGATGCAATTCATTTTTTATATGCTAATGCTCACATAAAAAATTGATAATACTATTAAATTTTTTGATAATAACTAAAAAAAAATGATGATGTCGCCCGCGACACCTTTCGCGTTTAAAAAAACTTAATGAGTTGTCTATGTGTTCTTCCAGACTATATTCTACATTTGTATCTAATTTCATCAAACCTTGTAACAAATATCCATCCATCCATACAAATATTCACATTTATAATATTAGTATGATTGAATGTTATGTAATGAGCTGCAAAAAATAAATCAATGTATTTTTCTGAATACCACGGAGTTGTCCAAGCAGGATAGATAGCTTTATTTCGACCAGCGCTTTTTTATTGTTTTTTATTTCGCAAATTGACTGATTTAATATCACGTGGATGAAGTTACAGGCAGTTTACATTTTTTTTTATCTTGTCTATTGTTCCAGGTTCAAATTTGTCCACACTGCAAAAGGTGGAAGTGAGCGGGTGTTCCGACAATGCCAAGGAGTGCATACTCAAGAGAAACACTAATGTTACCATCAGCCTTGAATTTACACCATGTTAGTATCTTATACCTATCTAATTGCCATATCACGGACTTTAAATAACTAATCAATCCCTTAGTGTTGAAATTTCATAATCATCACTTAACGTCTCTTAACTTCGGCAGTAAATTTCCGTTGTTCTTTCGCTCTTCAGTGTTGTCAAGCGTATGAATGAGTCACAGGATAATTTACACTTTCAATTGCTCCCGGTAGGTGGCATTGTTATCAATTTCTTTATGAAAGTCAATATGACTTGCAAGTGGCATTGAAAATGGAATCTGGAACCTTGAGTCAAAGTGAGGTCAAAGTGTGCGTCGAATGATTTTCTTTTTATTTTGTTTCATAGCAAAGGATATTAAGAATTTGGAGACAGAAGTGCATGGTGTGATCATGAACCTACCGGTGCCTTTCCCGTTACCGCAGCCAGACGCCTGCAAGGACACCGGACTCAGATGTCCCTTGAAGGTTTGTTACTAAAAATAATGATAAATTTACTAAACTAGCTTGAAAAATCTTTTGAGTACATCACCATCGAATACCGAGTGGGGTTGTAGGCACGCGCTACTTTATTTCTTATGTTAAAATTTACCAACTTTGACTTGCTGGATATAACAGGAAAGGTCGGAAACTCGATGCAATATTTTATATTTTCCAACTACGCTCAGATATCTTATCATATTCATGGTTGGTTGAGCTGGATGGACGTTTTACGCGCGTATCTGTTTTTATTTATTTATGAGGAGCGTCGGTGGATCAGTCGTCAAGCACTTGACTTGCAATCTGCAGGTCCTGGGTTCGAATCCCGCCATGTACCAATGTGTTTTTCGATTTACATATGTACATTTATCCGTTCTTACGTCGAAGGAAAACATCGTGATGCAACCTGCACATGTCTGAGTAGAAATTCAAAGATATATGTGAAGTCAACCCGCACTTGGCCAGCGTGTTTGACTATGGCCTAATCACCCTTAACTTAGGGTAGGCTCCGAGCCCCTAGGTGGGGACGTATAGTGAGCTGATGATGATGATGATGTGGATTTGTATCAATCAATTCCATTGTGACCTCGCAAAGGACCCAAGCGATCAGATTTTTTGATTACTAAGAAATAGATTTTTTAAATTCTTTTTTTTCAGGCTGGCGACGTGGCAAACTATAAATCAACATTACCAGTTTTGAAGTCATATCCTAAAGTAAAAGTCGACGTGAAGTGGGAACTGAAATTTGACGAAGAAGACGTCGTTTGCATATTAATTCCCGCGAAAATCAATTAAAATATAAAATAAATACACATATGCATAAGGAAGTAATTTGTACGAGAAAATGTTACAGATTTTTCCGCCTAAAATTTTGACAACTTTGTATTGTTACGTTTGATAAAGGTATTTGAATCGTACAGCCATGAGAACAAATATATTTTTGAATTTAAAAATATAAACTCGAATAAACTAAAGAAAAAAAACAATTAAAATGTATTTATTTCATGTAAATTATAATAAATGTCTCATTTTCCATGTTACCCAGTAATTATTAAAATTGTAACATTCGTGTTAATTATAAATTTTGTAGGCACTTCTTGCCTCACAAGATTGTATTATGTTGTTTCTCACCAAAGTTAGTTTAGAAATAATTTTACTGTGTTTTGTGAATTTATAGCGCTTTAATAAAAATAAAAAAACAGTCTTGGTTTATGCAAACTTTTGTACCTAATCGATTTGAATATGGACTATTATTTCTTTTTCCACAGCTGGAAATCTTAAATATCCGTAACTAAATAAGCAACTTACGTCGATCACGATAAAATTGCTTTTTAAAAAGGTATAAAAAAAGGTCTTTTCATTTCATTAATTCCATTTATTATATAAATATGAAAAATCAATAATTTTTTAAACAAATGTTACCTAACCGCAACAATACTGTGACATCTCGGTGACATGACAGGATCAAACAATTTAACAATATAGGATTTCCTATATCCATTTTCAAATAAATATAATAATCTGTCTAACAAAACAACACTCTCTATAACTTGCGCCAAACATAACCTCAATAAATTGAACATGACAATTTGTTTCCATTGATAGTTGAGATCGTTTGATACATCTGTCAAGTAGCTGTCAGGCAACCTGTCAAACAGTCCCAATGACAGAACATTGTCCGCCATCTTGAAGTATTGTGTAAAATTATCACATTTCGAAGCCACTCTTTTTAATTTACCGTCTTTCAAATTTGATTTCGGTAAATGTATCTTTACTATTATCTGAAAAAATAAACAGACCATAAAGATTTTTTGTCGCAAAAAGAAAGCGACCTGATGTTGCGACGCAGATATTAAACAAAAAACGAGATAAACTGGAAGGTAACCGATCAGATCCACTTCCCTTCCCGCTTACCTTACTCGAAAATAGACATTTTACAATTTGACGACTAATCGAGAGTCAACACCAAGGGGATTTATAACAAAATCTGTTGGCATTTTTCGTCGTTTTATTCCCCGGATTAGGTATAAGACGTAGGCTGCTTACTAAATTATTTTTATTAAAAACAGACAACATCGCGGATAAAAGCTAGTACGTGACTTTCCCACATTTACCTGGAACAGAGCCCTATAGAGCAAACTCTTGTTAGGCAGTTGTCTATGATGTAACACACGGTCCAGTGACTGAGCGGCCAGCATTCTTGCATTGCGCCCCAAGTTGTAACCTAACAATGTACATATTTCACATAAGTCCACCTTTTCCCCCCAGATATATAACCCTATGGGGGTAATAAATTTCCAACTATACCCCCTGGGAAAATTCAAACATCCTTTGTATGTACAATCACACCGACAACAATATTAAGATTCTATATGCAAACAGAGCTGTGGGTTTACTTATGTTAGTCATTTAAAAAAATAGTTATATTATGGTTTATAAAATTAGTTTGGAAAAATAATAATTAAAAAAAAACACACTTATTCCTAATAGTATAGACAATGAGCTGGCATTATACAGTGTTAAATTTTTCAAAACAGGAAAAACTGGATATCTATTGCCTAACTCCATATTTCTTCTACTTCTTTATTAAAAAGCTAAATGCTAGGATAAGAAATCTATACAAAATTATATGCTACCAAATTAATTCGAAGTAATTCCCATCAACTTACCCTTTAAATACTCTGACAATGGAAATCCATGTTCCGATGTTTCACAGCCATAGTCTCTCTGGAACACGTCAAAGAGATCTGCATCAACCTTCTCCGTGAGAAGATGGTAGCAGCACGGCACATTAAATAGACCAGTGGTTGAGGTTTGCGAGGAGAATATCCTGAGAGAATCAGGGCCTAGGTTACCACATGTGTGTAGACCTAAAAAAAAATTGTATGATGTTTTGTGAATGTTTGTATGTATGGATGGATATTATAATATATCTCCAGAAGGACTGTATGGATCTCGCTGAAATTTGGCATAGATGTAGAACATAGTCTGGAAGAACATATACGCTACTAATTAAGTTTTTTTTATTCCATGCGGACAGAGTCGCGGGTGACAGCTAGTATTTTGATAAAAATAATGATTTTTTCAATTTGATACTATTTAAAAAGCAAATTGTGTTTTTAATTTCATCATTTTAATAATTTTAAAGATATATTCGAAAAAAAAAAATTACGAAAAAAAAATAGAAAAATTAAAAAAAAAAATTACCTGTTAAAAGAATTTTATAATCTTTTTCATATTCGGGAAAAGAATCTTTCATAATATTGGCAACATTAGTTTTGTTCGTTATAAAAGCGGTCGCAAAACGATGCATATCACATTGTCTATTCTCAGTTAGATTTTCTTCGTTTCCATTGGTTACTTTTTTAGCAATAGCCCTCCATTGCTTCTATAATAATTTACACATACAATAAAAATAAAAAAAAAGGGTCATGACAGACAAGCAGACGGTCAACAAAGTGATCCTATAAGTGTTCCGTTTTTCCTTTCAAGTTACGGAACCCTAAAAAAGATTTTTTTGTCTGCAAACATGTATTCCTTTTTTTTAACAATGGAGAGATGACATAAATTAACATTATGTTGTACGACAATGTGAACGTAGCAACAAAAAAACATGTACCACAATTAACAAACATTTTAAGTAGCAGTGTAAATGGTTAAACTGAACAACCGTACAAGACAAAAAAAAATTATAGGAAAAATAAAAAAAAATACAACAACGCATTAAAACAGTCTGAAAAATTAAAACAAAGAATATACATATATATGATTTACAAAAGAAATTCAAAATAAGAATAAAATTAAAAATAAATCAATATCTAAAAGGCTGAATTATACATATATCTTACTAATATCATAAATACCAATGTTTAGATGGATGGATGGGTCCGGAACAGCTCAACGGATTTTGATGAAATTTAACACATGTAGAACATAGTCTGGAAGAATGGAACGGAGAATCTGGCTATGGGCAACAGCTAGAAATATTTTATATACTTACTTGTATTATCTTGACCCTTTGTGCTGCATTCTTGAGAGCTTTATCATCACAATCAACGGTGAGACTTGGTACATTGTACCCGAGGGTGAGAGCAACCAGTAAATGTCCCCTACCACCTCCAGCCTCCATACAATGTGTGGATGATGTTGCATTGTATAGAGAAGCAACTAAACGAGACATTCTTTGCACCTAAAATAAATAGTTTAGATAATATTATAACATTTTGCTATTTAATTTATGTAGGAAATATTGTAAAATTACTATTTGGCTTTGGTTAAATTTATATATATAAAAATATAGCCTTAGTGTTCTTCCATATTATGTTCTACATCTATGTTAAATTTCAGCGAGATCCGTGTACCCTTTCTGGAGATACCTTCTAACAAACATGATGTTACTCGCTATTAGAAGAGTTTTTTGCAGATGTAAGAATTTTTTAAATACGAAGAACAGAGTCGCGGACGACAGTTAGTAATATAATATTACAAATATATTTACCTCATAGCTTTTTTTACTGGTCATAAACTCTGTTATCTTAATCTCCGGAGGTAAACAAGCTCCCCAACACTTCAAATGCTGTTCCAAATCTTCAACTGATATGCAATAATCATTATTAACTGTCAAATTGTGACTTTGTGCTTTATGTATCCATTTACGAAGTTCACAGTTGTCTGAAATATTAAGTCTTAGTTAGTGAACAGATTTCCACAAACATATTGTTATCCCGCTCACTGTTACTGAAATGAACAAAGTTAACAATATGTTTTTGAACTTGAAATTTACATAATTTCACATTTATATAATGTTAAGACTATCACAAACATTTCTATGTATTTTTATATATGAAATAAATTACAAACATGCAAATAAACACACATGCATACGTTTCTTTTTTACATAAATATCTATTTTGAATTTATGATATATAAAAATTAATAACTTTTTTTTTTCCTATTATATTCAAAGCTATAGTTTATAAGATATAAGTTTTAATATTATTAAGTAATTAAAAATTTTACAACAACGATTTCCTTCACATATACATAATAAACAACACAAAAAACCCTGAGTTTTTTACACCAAAATCTCTATATAAAATATATTACATCCTTGACTCATCTTTGACAATATAGATATGTTTTAAATGGAGATTTTGGGCTCAGAAACCCATGGTTAAACAATGTATTTATATCATGCAGGATAGTTTTTTTAATTTAAACACTGACATTGACAACAATCTAGTACAAAATATAAATAAAAATATATTATTACGATAAAATATTATTATTCAGAAAACCATGACAAATACTGTTTTAAGCGACCATCCACACGGCATAAGAAAAAACATAGTAGCCTATGTGTTCTTACAGACTATGTTCTACATTTATGCCGAATCCGTGCAGCCGTTCTGGTGATACCTTCATATAAACAACCATCTATCCTTCCAAATATTTACATATATAATATTAATAAAATAAACATGCAATAAAAACATCAATAAACACCAATCTATACATAAAATTGTTGTGTTAACATACCAAGCCTTTACCATCCACACTATTTTTAACTGTTCAAACTCGGTCCAATATTTCATTAGTAGATAATACCTTCAAAATCAACACCAACAAAGTCACAAAGTTTCTTTAGTAGTATTATATAAAAAAGATTAACACTTTCAGTGCCAACAAGTTACTTGATGTTTGAAATTGTATCTTTGAATGTTACACATTGGATTAGTTGGTTGTGAATACATAACAAATGGTGTAAGCTTATGTAATATTAATATAATGGCTGTTAGTAGAATTAATCAACTCTTTCCTTTTGATAAATTATATAAGTATAAGTTTTTGCACAGTCAGCTGCATAAATATGTATACACTAGCGGTCGCCCGCAACTCCGTCTGTGCGGTATTAAAAAAAACATAATTAATAGCCTATGTGTTCTTCCAGACTATGTTCTATATTTACACTAAATTTCATCAAGAACCATTCAGCTGTTCTGGAGATACCTTCAAACATCTATCTATACATCCATCCATCTAAACATCTGCATTTATAATACTAGTTAGATCAGATTTTTAATAATTTTCATACCTATGGTTTTCAAATATATGAATATTAATCAAAAGCATGTATTCATGTTCGGAAGCATGGACAGATTTATATTATTATTGAAACCAAGGATGTATACAACTTTCTCAACATTTATTAATGTATTGATATTTATGCAGCTGACTGTATACGTTTTGTCAGAAGCCACTGTTTGAATACTTACCATTGTTTTCCGGTTCTGAAGCATATGTCCAGAATTTTTCAACAGCATAATTTAAATCCCATTTATCTATAGTTTGTATTAAATTTTTTGGTAATAATTTATCCCAGTGATTATCAGTGAAAAACTCCACCATATGACAATTAGCCAAAGGCAATAGTGGGTTTAGATATTTTAAAATTCTGTCCAAATTTTGATGTATTTTTGTTATTGATGTTTCCATAGCTGTGAAATTAAAATTATTAAAACAATGACTTCACATCCATATATAGAGGAGTAAGCAAAGATTATAGATTTTAATTTGGCCAGTTTTATATCTAAGCAATAATTTCAATTAGAATTATTACTAAAATATATATATACTAGGTGTCACCCACAACTCCGATCTTGCAGAATTAATAAAAACTCAATGAATAATGTAACACATACATTCCAAATTGTCTTCTACATGTGTGCCATATTTCATCAAAATCCCTTGAGTCGTTCCTGTGATAACTCTTAAGAAACATCCATCCATCTTAACTTTCACATTTATATTAGTAACATATGTATGTCCTATTAAAAATATGTGTAGCCATCATTATTAGTTGCAAATTTATGATTGAAACAATATTGTTAACGGTAAATGGAAAGGAAGTGGAAAAAAATATATTGTGTTCTTAAAAATTGGCTACATTATAATTAAAAAGAAATAAATTGCATGTACCTTTAAAACGATATATCACCCGCATATGGATTATTAGATGATATTTTAAGCATAGCACACACTTTTTTATATTGAGCTCTTATAGACTCAAGGAGGGCCAAAATATCATGATGCTCCGAGTTATTATGAGGGAATGTATCAATCAGCCCTTTCACTTTTTCCAGTTGTTTTATTGTCTTTTCTGAAGGTGTTTCTGCTTGATTTTCATCAGACTTATTTTGTTCTAAATAGTTTGTTACAGTGCCGTAATAAAATCCTGGAAAACAAACTCATTTTAAGAATATTCAACTCTCTTATACTGAAATTAATTGTTAATTAATCTATCTCACCTAATTCTCTTCCAATTTCAGCTCCTCTGTGGTAGCCTAAGTGATAACCCTCGGAGTTCCCTTCCTCAGAGCCAACCCTGAACCCTTCCTTATAGCTGTCCTGACATAATGTGTTCTCGCTTAGAAATATATCTTCAATGACATCATTAAAATCTGTATCATCAGCCATTTAGCGGAGCACTAGGATTTACTTTTTTTTGTAACAACGTTTTGAAAGAAACTTTTAAAGTATTTATATTATTTACATTTATTATTTAACATATCATAACTATTACTAGATTAATGAGAAGGCACTATTCGCTTATTCTTTTAATTATTTTTCATAAATATTATACACTAACCTTTAAAAATCGCATAACCAGAAAAACACTATTTTGACAATGACAGAGAGAGTTGGTAGAGGGAGCGGGAGCGCTAGTGAGCTGTAATTTGACTTTTGCCTAGTTTACATAATGTCAGTACAGTTGTGCTCGAAATCAGCACTGGCATACGATAATGTACAGCTATCACCAAGCTTACACCGACTGGCATGGCGTTGCGCCGTTGTAAGCCAAAACAATACATGCCAGCGATACTGTCCTACTGTACTGGCACAAAGTAAACTAGGTTACATAGAGTACTTTGTAGGTCTAAACTCTATATTTATTATTGATAATTTAAATTGACAAGAATTGTGACTCTGTCACTGGATTGTCAATCAAAATCATTTTCGCGTTTACGATTTTGCACTTTTGTATATCGAAATTAATAAATGGTTTAATATTTATATTTTCTTAACAAAAATTGCTACTATCATAAAATATTCAGTTTTACTTTTCTTGTTTTGCATTAATCCACAATGGTTAGGGAAATTACCAGTGATGAAGTTAAAAGACATCATGACAGAAGAAGTGCTTGGATCATAATACATAATGATGTTTACGACGTAACAAGTTTCCTGGGTGAGGTAAGTTATCAACTTCCGTTCTGCGTAGTTAATTAAACGGCGCAATTAAACACATTTAATAAAAGAAAAAAATCATTTTATCCAGACGTAAAATAATAATAAATCTTTCAAAATTTTACTGGTTTCAATGAACTTTCAGCATACTACGTTTCTTCTTCAATTTGTGAACACTAAACCTTATTTCATGTTCTCAATCTGCATTGATCGCTTTAGGAATAACTGTGTTAGATAGTAAAATCTAGATTAGATTATGTTTAATTTCAGCATCCTGGCGGTGAAGAATCTTTACTGGAATTTGCAGGAAAAGATGGCACAAAAGGCTTTGAGGATGTTGGACATAGCCAAGATGCGAGGTATAATAATGGTTTATTACAAGATCATAAAAATATCATAGTGGCATAGAATATGTAAACTGTAGAGATATTTCTTTCAATCTTTAAGTATTATAAACTTTTTATTCTATTAAATGGCATATATCAACAGTATGTTGTTATGTTTCTTGAATATAGTACTTGAAAATATATTTGATACTAGTTGTTGCCTGCAAATCAATCTGCACGGAATTAAAAATAATATCATTAGTATGTAGTACCCTATGTGTTCAGACTATGTTCTATATGTATGCCAAATTTAATCAAGATCTGTTCTCTTGTTCTAGAGATACCTTCAAACAATTATCCATCCATCTATCCATCCATCGTATCATTTGCATATTATATTAGTACGAAATAAGATTAATATTGATGTTTGATTAATTTTTTTTTCAGAGAAATGTTAGTAAAGTACAAGATTGGTACTCTACCTGCTTGTGAAATCACCAAAAAAGTCCATTCATGTTCCAATTGGTAAGAATTCTATATATTTATTGCAATAATTCATTTAGGTTATAACCTAAATGTGTACCTATAACCTAAGTGATCAATGGTAAAAAGTTTATTCTAATGTTTTGTGTGTCAATTACATAGACAATTCAACTGTAGTAGGATTACCTTGTGAGTTTATCTCCTTGACTAGGACTTGAAAATTAAACTACAATTATAAAAGATTTAGTTAATTTTGGTATAGTAGTTTTCGGATATTTCTGCGGCTCTTAACATTGATTGAGTTATTGTGTGGATCACAATTTTAAGTGTAGTGGGATACTGGGGAAGTTCATTATGCAGCGCTTTGATGATACCCCGATGATCTATTAACACTAAGATATTTGAAAGGAACTATAAATGATTAAATTATCTCATAATATCTGGGATTTCCGATTTACATATGTACATTTATACGACGTTCTTACGGTGAAGGAAAACATCGTGATGCAACCTGCACATAACTGAGAAGAAATTCAAAGATATGTGTGAAGTCGTGGTTGACCATGGTCTAATCACCCTTAACTTAGGGTAGGCTCCGAGCCCCTCGGTGGGGACGTATAGTGAGCTGATGATGTATATGGGAGTGTTTTTGTATAGGCATTATAAAAAGTTTATAAATCTCAAGGTTCTTCTATTGATGGTTCATTTCTTTTATTATTTATAGGGACTTCTCAATACTTTTTTTTAATATAGTAATATTTTTTTATCTTCTTCAAGCTGTTTAACACCAAAGAGAAGTGTGGATAGTCAGAAATCATGGAGATCATTTGATGGTCCACCTAGAAGGTTTACAGTTTTAATTTTTCGTAGTTTACTTTATTCAATGGTACAAAATTTTAGTTTATATTTCCTTAAATTGAATATATTTATGCATCTTAGTATCAGAAAATGAAAGTTCTATTATCATGAACTAATACCTACCTATAAGGACTAAGTTACTCCTTCAGAGTTTGACCTTGGATTAGATTTTTTATCTGAGATTTAGTTTTTTTTATCTTATACTGATAAAAGCATATAGTATGGTAAGAGATCTGATTGTGAGGGATAATATAGTCATCAGTAAAAGAATTTTACAAATTGGTTGCAGTTTCAAAACCTATTCAACAAAAACAATAAAATCTTTCCTCTTTATAATATTAATATAGTAAAGTTGAATAAATATTTTCTATAGCAATAGTAGTTGAATTAGTATATTTGATAACAGTAGGTTACAGTCACCCAAGACATCGGAACGTAGCATTCCTTGTGGACCTATACAGCCCGATAGAAGGATACAGAAGATTGTTGTTCAACGGGAAAGGTTACAACTCTAATTTTTAATAAATTTTAAAACTCATATAAATAATGGATGAGATTGAAACATGTAAATGCAATTTTTGCCACAATTTATAGGAAACAAGGATACTACTCTTGGAGAGAGTTTACTATGAAAGTGTTATTGTAAAATGATGTGTCGCTTTCATAGGACTTTTGCTTAAATTTATTAATCGTGGGCTTCTGAGACTAAAATCTTCGTTTAAAACATATGGTTATATCAGATTTGTCAAAGATAATGACAGGGATGGTATGTTTTATAACATTTTGTCATCAGAAACCTTCTGTTAATGAATACGGCGATGGTATTTATTTGTGAATCTGCAATTCACATGTATCAGCAATAATAAGGGGGACTACACATGTAAAAAAATTCAAAAGATGTCTGATTAGTGAGACGCGAAAAATCATTTTTTTTTTCAATTTGTGGAATTTCTAACGACATTTCTCTTTATGTACCATTTTTCTTCTTTGTAGGATAAGAATTCATCCATGCGAAAGGTGATTGCATTTTTTAAGAGAAGTTATTTTATTTACTACGTTTTTTTTCTTTTATAATTTTTAATTGTTTTAAATCAACAGACGTCGGCCTCCACCGCCGCCATCGAGGTGTTTATGTTTTTTTTTCTGTAGTTCGATTTATTTTTTATTTTTAAAAATAGTATAGACAGACAGTATTTAAGTTGGACATTTTTAATGCTATTTATTAACTAATTATTTAAAAAAGAAAATATAATTAGTTTACGGTTTTGATATGTTCCATAAGTAATTTCTAAGGTAGTTTAAACAAGTTTGGCTTTTTCTTTAAGTCGACCGTATTTCATTCATGACACCACATAAGATGGCACTAAAATATTATAAGAAAGTAGTTTATTCGTTTTTTATTTTATTATTTTTATTAAATTCTTGGAAATTACATCTTCAAGTCGTTATTTTGTTCTAATGTGGGAAACTTAATCATTTACCATCAAAAAAGTGCTAAAAAATCCATACTATTGTAGTATTTTTTATCATCTTACACAAACAAGATTGTGTTGCGGTTTTTAACAGGTTTGAAAGACACAATCATTTAAATATTTTCCTCACATTTTTTTTTCAGTTCTAAATTGAAATGGGCCGTCATCGCCTTAGCTGGTGCTATTGTCATCGGTTTCGCGTTGAAGAAATACTTGAGCTAATGGAACTACGGATATATTCAAGGGTCCAAACCGGATAAAACCGGTTTCAACCGGTTCTAATTAGTGTCACGTACAAACTTAGTGCGATATTAAGTTTAAAATCGAAGCATTTAATTGGCATGTGATCATTCTCGTCCGCTTTTTTTATTCCATTTATGTACAGTTGGCAGCAAAAATGTGTGTCTGTAACTGTGGCTTTCCTCTGCACTTTTATATTTATAGAGGCGTTTATGTGCTGGAAACTCATAGTAAAGTATTAATTCCTTTTGTTGTTGACTGTACCGATGTAGATGAATTTATTTAAATATTTTATAATTGTTATTCAATTGTTTATAATTATTTATTAAAGTTTATCAGTGTTGTGACAATAAAATCCTGATCCCATACTTGTATATTTCTTAATTTTTTATTTTTGTCCATTTTTTGCTAGAAAAAAAAATTACAGATATCAGTAGAATGGAGTAAGATTTCTTGTTGTATGAAATTAAAGTGGGAAACTAGTAAGCATCGAAGAAAAGAAGATTGAGCGAGCTGAGGGCCGCGTTCGCGAAATAATACCGGTCCCATTCACGAAGGGCTCCCGATGGCCTCGAAACTAGTCGGTGCCGCCACCGGATGAATATACGTGAGTGTTTAGCATCGAAGAAGAACAAAAAAATCCTTAAAATAATTTAATTATCAATAACAAGGCAGTTGTTAGCAAAAGTATATTGACTTTTGTCGTGTACCCATTTGAATATGGTCCTATTTTTGCTGCGTACGCTATCGCCTGGAAGACATAGTGTTGTTCATGCACGCTGTGGAACAGATGAGAGTGGGGTCCTGAGGAAGAAACATTCAGGTAAGAGTATCACCAATAACGCGTTCCGTGATATGACGATCGTTTTTCTAACAGAGTCCGCGGCAGTGAACGTTTTTTACTGATCTGACTTTGAAGATATAATTTAAACTAGTCTTCGCCAGCGACATCGTCGGTGCAAAATTAAAAAAAAGTTGCATCAGCTGCCTTCCCGTCAGAATCGGCACAGCGGTTGAGAAAATCACCCGGAACTAAATGCGACAGCCAGACATTTTATAAATTTGGTTTTACGAGCAACGCAAATACGTCACATGTAGGATACAGACTTTTAATGTCCATGTTACATACGGACAGTCCAATTTTATTAATATATAGATAAATAAACCCACCTTTAGCGTACACCGCGACGTCTCCACCACCGTGGCTGTTTTCATCAAGTGGTATGGCTGCTATCTGTTCATAGTGATAGCTCTCTGTATCCTCCTTACTGGGCTCTCTCCTCTCAGCTCTAGTCTTGTTGCCTATGGTCTTAATGTCATACTGGAAGGAACCCGGCCCTCCAGTACCGTAGGAGAGAGTTGTGTAGTTTTTGTGATCGAAGGGAGATTCTGCAGCGATACCTTGGTATAAAGAAGAAAGGAAAATTAGACTTCGAAAATAAATATATTTTCTCTCAACATTCTGTATTTTATACTCTGTATGTAAAGCATTAACTCGTTTAATACAATTACGCTCCTAATTGATGCCTAATTTTAGTTGTCTTTCCCTTCCCAGTGGAAGTGGATTTGACGTGGGAGACATAAGGGCAAATATTCTCTTTAGCGTCCCCTCCTCCGACGATTAAAGGTAGGCAACGCACCTGCAATTGCAGATATCTGTGGACAGAGGACCGAATCTAGGTGATCGCGTTATCGTTTAATACCTAATAATATTATATTAAAAAGAAAACGATCCTTGGTAACAAACGTCTTAAAAACAGAAGGCCTTATATTTATTTCACAGCAACGCTTACCAAATATACTTGCTCCCCGATCAGGATACCCGTTGATAGAAAGTGTATGCGTGTGATCGCTGGTGACGATGATCAGGGTGTCTTCATCACTGGTCATGTCGACTGCAAGTTGTACCGCTCTCTCCATAGCCACTGTCTCGTCTACAGCCGTCTTAGCTCTTCCTCGATGATGAGCCATGTCTATTTTACCACCTTCTACCTAGGACAAACAGGAGGTGGATGGATTTTGTTTAACGAACAATATGGAGGGTTAAATCTAGTCCAGACTTCACAAGAACAGGGGTTAGGTGACCATGATGCTGCATTTTAACTTCAACTTGTGAACTCTTTGATGTCTCCTATTTATTCAATTTTTAAGCGTTTGGAATATAATTATCATGAGTCATTACTAGTTTAGAGGAATAGCGTTTAATTTTTTTTCCCTTTGAACCAGATGATATTACTGCAATACATGTTCAAATTATAGAATCTAAGAAAGAATACAACCAACCATGAGGAAATATCCTTTAGGATTCTTGCTCAGTACTTGAATAGCTGCTTTCGTCATATCAGATATTGAAGGCTGGCCTTCTGGACTTTTGTTTCTTTCGAATTCATATTGTAGATGTTCGTTTGCGAAAATACCTGACAGAAAAAAAATAACCTCAATTTTAATTTACTATCTATGTAAACAAGATTGTCATTATCTGTGAAAAACTTTCGAATTGAAATTAACCTAAATAAGATATGACCTAAATGTCTATGTTACCAGGTCATAAAATAAAAAAAAGAATTGAAATAAAAAAAAACAAATGTCAAAACTTTATTTGACATCTGTTATGGCGCCCAAAAACTATTCATCCTACGACCAATAATTAATACAATTTTGGTTCCCTGCTGAGTATTTTCGTTATTTGGTTTTGATTAACTTTAAAAAATATCGTAAACTGTCCTCACCGAACAAATAATCAATATCGTTTTCAATGTTTAGAAGCTCTCTGGTGTTTGAAACAATTTGATATTTCAGATTTCTATCTTCTTTGTCTCTTCTATATTCATCGATCAAGTCTCTTCCATCCTGTCTGTAGCAAGACCAGGCGCTGATAGGATCTTCAGGAGTACCAGTGGAATTTGAAACTAGGACCTGTCTGCCTCCACCAAGTACTACCTGGTTGGGAAAAACTTCGTTAAGGGTAGTGTTCCATCGAGAAATTTAGTCGAGAAGTATAGGCAAGTATTTTATAATTGAAATTGTGCCCGTGATACCAAATAACATAGAAAAATCTGGAGACAAATGATTTAAGACTTTTTTTCTTTTTTGAGGTTTTCATACGAGTGTAGTAATAACTTATCTAAATAGTCTATTGTCCTCATTTTAAGATAACACAAGTTTTAAACTACTAGCTACTATTTTATGGATTACGTCTCACTTCCACTGGCATTTCAAAACGCTTCCAGTTTATAATAGTGGAAATAGCTTAAATCCACACTTTAAGACTTACATGCAAGTCTCTCCCGGGCCAGTCTTCGACGAGCTGTCGAGCTATATCCTTGCATTGTTTGGCATTTGCTGGCATGTTGGCCTCACATTCCCAACTCCTTGATGCGCTATGCGCGTACAATGGTGCGGGGGTCGCGTGTGTTACTCGCATTGTCGTCACTAAACCTATACATAAATAAATTATAGCACAAAAAGACTAAGGCTAATTGTGTAGATTTGAAATCGAACTTTTTGGGACTCTTTGATTATTAGTCTTCTATTCTTATTTAGTCTTTTCGGAAAGTTAACGTACAAGATATTAGTATTAAAGTTAACAGTGTTACTGCCACATAGTAATGATAACTCAGACCCTTAGTGAAAATATCTTACTAATATTATAAATGCGAACGTTTAGACGGATGGTTGGATGTTTGCTTGAATGTATCTCCAGAATGGCTGGACGGATCTCGACGAATTTTGGCACACGTATAGAACATAGTCTGGAAGAACACATAAGCTAATTGTTTTTTTCTTAATTCCGCGCGACTGGAATCGCGGGCGACAACTAGTAAGTATTCCAAAGAGTACTCACCACTGCTTTTCCCGGCTTTTAAAGCATATGCTGCTAATGAGTCTAACCACGCTTCCTTATTAAGAGACGCCTCACAGTCATACTGAGGTACGGTAGCATCAACACCCAGAGTGCCGAGATTAGCCTTGATACCAGAGAATAAGGCGGTGGCGGAACACGCTGAGTCCGGTACCATTTTGTTAGCGGAATACGTCTGAATATTACACAAAAGCAAACCATGTATACAATGATGAAAGTAGGACAAGGACATAATATTTTTTAGTCTTTAGTGTAATCATTGCCTTAGTTAATTAATAAGAGAAACCAGCACTTTGCAACTCTCTCGGTGACCACATGGCGACAGTAAGTACTTAAGGTCAAATTAACTATCATTTAGCATCTATAATGATAAACGGTTGAATAGACCTTTACAAAATCCTCTATAAATCATGTTTAAATCAATTAAGTATTTTCGAAAGTAGATTTTAAACAAATAACTTGAACGTACAGTTTGTTCTAGCCAAATCCTTTTAAACGTCAAGACATATAAGAACCTACATATTAAGTATTTATCAATCTCTGTTCTGTTCAATGATAATAAAAGGGATAGCGATTAACTTACCTTTAGTAAACCGACATGAGGAAATTTCTCGAATGCCAACCTATGACTTTCACCACCACGATATATCCTGGCCGCAGTAACCGTATTGGGTCCCATTCCGTCGCCAACGAATAAGATGACATTCTTAGCTGTTCTCAGATTAAATCTAACTTGCAATGCTTCCTCTAATTCCTTTTCCGCTAAAGATTTCCAGTAGTTTTGGTCTGGAGCCAGAGGGAAAGATAAAATTGAATAATAAAACGGCGTATCTCAAATCCATATTTTGAAGATGTTAGTAAAATTTATTGCTTGCTTAGTTACTTAATTAGCATCATATTTTTTAATAATTAACCAACAATTAACTGACTAGATTAAATTAAGTTGAATGTAACGGAAGTTAACAAGATTGTTAACATTTTTCTGAACTCAATTTAAAAGTTAATCAGATTGTTAACTTCGTTAATTATCGAGTTAATGTCTACCCTTGGCGAACGTCAAATAGTAAGTTACTTTGTTACTATCTGAGAAAGATTGATATTATACCAACATTAAAAACACAATTAAAATGTTGTTGGAAATAATTATTCAAAAAAGTATAAATGCAAACCATTGATAAATTACTAATGTTATCTTTATTAAAAAACCTACTGTTTCATGTTATGTTAGTAATTTTATTATTAACTTATATGTATAATCGTTGTTATTCTGTAACAAGATACCTATTTAGTAAAGATAAGCAAACAAATATGGCAATCTTATTAAAATATTTACATTAAAAACATATAATGTTTAATATAACACAATTTCATGTCACCAAATAAGTATTATGCAAAAATATTTAGGTTAACTTTAACAACGGATGTTATTCAACAGATAAAATAAAAAATACATTTTAAAAAGTAATAACATTAAAAACAAACGAATGTTATGAATACAATTTGTATTACCAACGTACCTGTTTGCGATGAGCACGTTGTGATAAAAAATAAAGTCGACAACACCACACACCACGAATGCATATTGATGACTGTCGAGTCGAGGCAACTGCTCGACTGACTATTACTATAAGTGCCTATTTCCACTTAACGGTTTGTCGCATGACTGCGTTTTCCACGGAATCTCGTGTCTTATTTTCACTGGTGCAACCGCGTTAGCTATAAAAAAAACAAATGGTCATAATTGTCTATTTCTACGTTATGGTTTAATTTGCGTCCTATTGTCACTAGGTCATAATACTAATATTATAAAAAGGAAAGATTATATTGTCTGCATTGAATTGGCTCCAAAACTACTGAACCAATGTGAAAACTTCTTTCACTGTTGGTAAGGTATGCTATCCCCGAATAACAGGCTATATTTACTATAATATTAATTATTTTTGTATTACGCGTTGATGAAATCGTAGGCAATTGCTTGTGCTATCTAAAATTACAACTGCGTACAGCAAGAGTCGCGCGACTAATCGCATAGTGGAAATAGGCACTACCCAACCTGTGCTGTTCCATTGAACTTGACTTGGTTTATGAACAGTTGAGTATTGCACAATAGAGTTCATATCGAGTAAAGAATGGGAATGTCCCAAATTGTTTACTAACTGAATGACTACTGAATGAATGATTTTAATTACGAACTTTATATTCACATCGCATCATAATGTTACGATTGAATCATATTACAATGACATGACAAATATTAAAGATAATAAGTAATTAGGTAATAATGACTATATTTATCTTAATACTGGAGATTAGTTACATTGTATTGTTGTTATATGTAATTAGATATTGGTAGACATTCTACCATAATATATAATCAAAGGTTTTGTAATTAAAAATAGCATTAACGTTCACGTAATTCTGTTAAAAAGGAGTACAAAGTTTTTCCACTCGTATATTAAAACTAACTGTAGTCCGCGAACCCGTCTTAAATTTAAACAAAACTTAATATATAGCCTGTGCTATTCAGACTATGGTCTACACGTGTGCCAAATGTCATCAAAATCCGTTGAGTCGTTCCATAGATATCTTACCTTCAAACAAACATCTAAACTTTCCCATTTATAATCTTATTCATTTATTAACCTTATTATTAATATATTACTTTTCATATATAAAATAAAAAAATATACAAAATATATTATATTAAAAATAGAGCACCACGGGTTGCGGAGTCCCATAACTCAAACAACCAGTGGTCAGGGCTGCAGAGACAGGAACCTTCTCACGATGCGTGCGGTTTCTAGGATAACTGCCTTCGTATCGGGCCCTTAATCCAACTGTTTAGCGAGAACTTCTTGAGATGTTGGTCAAAACTCTTCGCTGTCAGTCCATACACCGATACGACTATCGGAATAATGGTAGTCGATTTCATACGCCACATGGCGGTAACCTCGTGAGCCAAATCTAGGTATTTTAAAAATTTTCTAAGATAATCATAATAAAGGTGTATTTAAACAAACTGGAATGAAAACCAAATACCTCCGCTGTCACCTGTGAAAGTAAAATTCAAGTCGGGAAAACATTATCGCAATGACGTAATTACTAATTAAAATGCTGCCTAATACAAAACTCATGCTTAAATGCGATAAAAAAGTATATTGATAAAATTGCTTGGTCTGGCAGTTTAGGTTTTTGCTCTTTCCCTCCTATCGCTTTGAAAAAACAGCGACAACAATATGCGTCAATATAAGTGTCGCGCTAGTGGAATTTAACCATAAAGGTAATCAATATTTCTTTATTTGTTTAAAAGGTGTCAATAAAACTACAGTTATACTTGTTACATTTTCGTTTTAATTTTACAATACTTGACAAGTTTAACAAAGCGTTATACAACGATTGGAACTTTAATACTTCTATAAAATAAAAATATAAGTTTAAATACATTGTAAATTATTATTACAACATTTAAAGCGTTTATAATTGATCGATAGTTGTGCAAACATATATTATAAGGGCCTATACACTGGATATACCGTTCAAGGTCACCCAACGGCTGTACTGTTTAATATTATAACAAAAGTTTGTACTAAAGATACTTAAATTATTCTGTATTCAAAACAAAATAAAACTGCACATAAATCATTCCTAATATTTGAACATAAAAAACACATTTATAATTTTCTGGTAAACAATACAAGATAGTAAAGTCACTTTTCTTGTAATTTTTTAATTCGTATGCTTCTTTTTTATTATAGCAAAATTACATATTATAATCTTTGCTATTTAGTATTGATAAATTGGATTCGCGATACAAAAAAAATGACATTAGGTACAATCACGTCCAAAAGTGAATAGGCCCTTATTTACTTAAATATTATCTATATAAAACACTTCTAACAAATATTTATACGTATTACATTTTAATATGAATATATTAGTAATATATTAACAAAAAACATGAACTTATTATATTTTAATTTGTTATGAAATCGGGATACAGAAGGATTGATATATTTTATTTAAAGAAGTAGATAAAATCCTGTATAAGAAAAAATATTATAAATATATTTCTTAATATGAAATAAAATTAGATTATTTTAATGATAACTGTAGTATTAATAATTAATATTCGTATAACGAAAAATGTAGCATTTTCTTATATTAGAAGATAAATAATACCCAAGAATATCTGTTCTATTTTTATTGTAGATAAAACTATGGACTACTTAAAGCAAAGGACGTTTTATTGTCGTATTTTTTTATCTGTCACCTACAAACGCTTATATTTTATTTAGCTACTGCATTACAGATCTATTGAATACATTTCTAGACACAATAATTATCTAAAATCTATTTATAAATATCTGATATTAATAAACTGTAGTGTTTTTATTGTATTTTGGACTATGTTCTTTTGGAACGCAAATTATAAAAACAATTTTCTTTGTAAATTTAAAAAAAAATTAGAAAAGTATCAAGACTCTTTGGTTAAACTTGATAATGTTATATAGAGGGCAAGTCAAACATATTATCCCGGAGTTATATTATAATACTCGCTTTTTTGTTTGAATTGTCCAATAAAATAAACATTTCCTTCTCATTTTACATAGAACTTTAAGAATTCTTTAAAATTGTAGTAGTATCTTTAATAGATTATTATAAAAATTCGATATCCAAAAAATCATTGATTAAAAATTTATTTTTAAAAATTCAAAATGGCGGATATTTCGTTTCAAATATTTGCTATACAACCATAATGGCAGGAAGCTCATTTAAAATGTAATTAGAAAAATGTTAATAATTCTTATATCTTTTGTCAAAATAACCTTATTTTAGTAATAGTAAATATGCTCCAATACGATAATATTTTTTAGTATGTACTGTCACTTACATAAAGCATTAAAATATTGTCTTTTTTTGGTAAATGTTAGAAAAGTATTCCATTGTAAACGTATTAGAGAGATTATTAAAATATAAATATAATACATATAATATAATAAATATTGATAGAAAGTTAAAATATATTATAGATTTTACATTTAATTTCTGGTGATTTGTAAATTTTATTTTAATGATATATTTCATGTGATATATTTCGACAAACATGATACATATTTTATGATATGATCATTTTTTCCAAGCAACTTTAGAAAGATTTAAGCAAAATAAAAATAAATCCTAACCTAGATGATGGAAGACGAATGATTAATTAAAATTTTAATAGTAATATTATTAATTGTATTTAATTAATTAATTGATAATATTATTATTAGTAACACAGAAGCAAGTGCACTTGACGCAAATTAACATCACAACCATTTTTATGTCGTAAAACAATTCTTCTAATACTAATTAACAATTTTTCTCGTATCATTTCGATATTAAATAATAATAATAATGATAAAATAACGCTAATATTATGATATAAATAAACATACGTGTGAGAATTGAAATTTATATTTAACTATTAGTAATTATTGTGTTGTTTTGAATGTATGTTCCCCCTTTATAATGATGTTTGCATTAAATAATCGCAGAGTTGTGACATAAATCATTAAAAAAGCAACACAAATGCTATCTTTGTTTTTTATATTCTCCGACTATATAGTATTTTTAGAATTAAGATAAATTATACTAGACATAAACATTTGCAAACTACTTACGTAGCTAACACGACTATGTTACATTTTGTGTTGGCAGAATAACATCTTTTCTCTCTTTCTTTTTCGCAGGGTGAAATGAAACAGATGTTGTTTTTAAAGAACGCCATCTTCATTAATTGATAAGAGGTAGCTGCGCATTACTATGATGCAGTAAAAGTTTTCGGCTGAAAATGTAAAAAAAACATTAAATTTTTTGTTTGCAAACATAAGTGTCTGTTGCCACTAAGCGGGTGATCATGCAACTCCGGACGCAAGCTGTACAACAGTCGCAGTATCGCCAGTGAAAATCGAAATTACATTAGCACTAAGAAGCTTTACAGACAGAGCTTTAGTTGAGACAAGTATCAACTTAGGTTTTAAAAAGTAGACTCAAACAACTTTCAACTTAGTTTTCAAAAGTTTCTAGTTGCAAAAATGTGTCTAAGTTCTCGTAACTTTATACTAATCTAAGTTTTAGCTTAGATAGTTGATATCATAAGTGCAAGTGTGGTCTTTGTCTTACCCAGGAAGAGAATCTGCGCGATCACATAGCCAGCGGACAACTGGAACAAGGTCTTCAGGAAGGCGATGATGAAGAGGACGAGGAAGATAATCCAGAAAATACAATACTTCTTCATAATCCCGCATTTCTCCTGCAAAATATAAATATATCAAATTATAATAACAAGATTATCGGAATTGGAGTTTAACAAAACCAAATTGTATAATACTTTTTAAGATTTTCTGTTCCTTCGTAAAGTAATTTAGCGACATTTTTGTATGGAGAGTAAGCGTCGACGTGACATATAGGACATAGGTAGTCACCTAAGTTAAATCAGTAGTAATAGGAATTAAAAATGAAAAAAAAACAGACATAATAGTAGGTTTAAACTGGGATTTTGGTCAAAGACAATTGAATCCGTCCATTATAAATGCAATGTTCACTACTACATTTACGATCTCAGTAAATACTTGTCAGCTTTGTCAAATAGCAATAATAATACTTATAACTCACCTTATAAGCAGCGTAAACAAACACCAAATCGACAAGGAACTTAACCAACAGCAGAACAGCGAGGAGTATAACAATGGTGTAGACGACGGAGGACATAGCCGCGTCGCTATCATCACGGCGAAGTTGATCCAATTCCTTCATGTCTACCGCGTACGCGATCAGTAAGACAGCCAGGAGCAATGTCACTATCTGGAACATAATACATTATTTTAGTACAAGGTTCACCGAATAAGCGCCCATCTGGCTGATCATGTCAAAGTAACGTATTAGTACTAGATTCCAATCAAAACTTGACCATAAATAAATTGCACATTATGCTGAAATTCGAAAATTATAAATGCATAAGTTTGGATGTTTGTAAACGAACTAAGTAAAAATTTGGAGTAAATATAGATTACAGTCTGGAAATAACGTATATGCAACTGCATTTTTAAATTTCATTCGGACCGAGTTGCGGGCTACGACTAGTCCCATGAATATCTAAAATAAAACACTTTTAAACAGTACTGGTCTGTCTCTGTTCTGTCCTCGCATTAAAATGGCATTTAATCCATAAAAAAGCAATAAACTATGTCTTATGGATTATGAAAAAAATTCTAGAATATATGCAATCAGCATGTTAACTAAATATAGACCAGGGACTGACCTAGCCTTGAACTGTTGCTATAAAATAAGTTCAGGATACTTGTACTTGGCATGTATCCAACAATGCTAATTAATAAACTTGTATCTTGTGTCGGTTCCATTTGTCAAATATAACAATTTAAATAGTTATTTATACTTACGGAATTAAAAATACCCATTGTGATACATCCTATCCTCAGATCGATGATGAAACAGAACTTCTCCAAGACTGGCAACTCCATCCTGGCCTGATTTAAAAAAAAATATATAGAAGTATAGACAAAATGTGTATTTTTAATGTTTTTTTTTATCTGATATGATACAAATTAGTTTTATTTAAAATTTAATTTAAATCCATATTTTAAAATAGAATGTCATTAAAATTGGCTAATATTCGTATTACATATTTCTTTTTAAGATTAATAACCTAACCTATAAATATAAACTCATAAGGGTCGTTAGTAAAAGCACGTAATAGACTTTGAAGTGAGCCTCAATAGAGAATCAAGTCTCTAAACAAAAGCTTTGTTTGGGCGTAGTAAACGATACAGTTTGTTTCTTGGCACTATTCCAATTTAATACTGAACTAAATTAAGAGGCACAAACATGGAAATTATATTTACTGAATTGTTTTAATTCATTAAATTAAAATGATGAAAATGTAATTATTTTAATGGATAATATTTTTAATGATAAACTTACCATTTTAATGATTAAATTTCGCACTGAACTGTACAAGATAAAGGCGTCTTCACACGGTCACACCTGCACTTGACATCTTAATAGTCCGACAGTTTCATTGTAACGAGAACTTCACTTGGTAAGGGCAAGTTTGATTGAAGTAAGAGAGATTGTTAAGGCGAAGCAAAACGAAAACCAGGACTATAACAAACTGACAATCATTAATTTGGATAGAAGTGTGTAGTAATTCTTGAGTATGACAGTTTGTACAATATGCTGATTTTTTCACATAAATAATTAGTCATCATTTATACTTAATCTCTAACATATGGTGACTTAGTTGTCACATTTTAGTGAGATTAACACGTTCAATTACTGATTGTTATCAAACTGACGGGTACAGGTCATGTCGGGATTGTCATATTTTTATTTTACAGCTTAGTTCAGTGTATAAAAATGAACTTGTATGGATAACACTAAACTTACTAGGATATTTGTGGAATTTATGTTATTTTTTTTATATTTCTAGGATTATAAGAATAAAAAGGAGGTACCTTGGCCTTAACAAGGAGGCTGTGCCCTGCGCAGAATTGTTGCGGCGATCGATATTGGGACAAGAGACACGGCGCTGTCGTTTTCCTAATCACATTCCTGCACTTCACCTATATCCTACTTATATCTATTTGCATAATTATATCATCTCAAGAATGTTCCAGAAATCCTCTACAGGTTAGGTCAAATATGTCAAATCAAAAGTGACTCGCCGGTCGCGTTATCTTGTTAAAATTGATAACTAATATCTTTATTCAAAGAGAAAATCCCTTAGTAAACCTTGCTTTTAATTGTTTTTGATTTTAAAACTCAAATAAATCTTGATAAATGTCAAATCGATATTTTGAATATCAGATAAAACGTAATTTCATTATTACGTGTGTTATTTTATGTAAAATAATTTAATTATACGTATTTAGTTTCTTTATGATATTAAACTTGATAAGCGACAATTACACTATATTATCAACTAATTTGGATTAAAATTAATTTCTTGTATCGAATAAAATCTTTAACAAAAGTCCAATGTTTTATTTTCGCCTATTATAAAGTTATTCTATTCCATTACGTAGAATACACATCTAAATTTAAAAATGTTGTCTATGGATTCCCGGATTATACTCGATAACATCAATTCAAGAGTGGTAGAACCCGCTTGGTCAGGTTCGCCCGGTGAAATACCACGACCACACAGAAAACAGGCGTGAAGTGGAAGCAATTCCGCGTTCTTTCTGTGCATCCTCTCCTCCGTCGATTAAAGGTAGGCAACGCATATGCAATAGCGTATGTCTATGGGCAACGGTCACTTCGCTATTTCAGCGATTTCAGGTGCCCGCTCGCTCGTTTGCCACCTTATGATATAAAAAATAGGTATTTATATATATATTTTTGTGTTTTATTGACTTTATTCAAAACAAACTTAATCTAACCTTAAATAATAAATATTAGTTATAAATTAAAAATCACTATTTATCCGGTTCGTTCTTTGTTTGGGTAGTTCTGTGTCGCCGTAAGATTCTTTCATCTTTCTGTACAAACTATTCACAACCGTCAAGTAGTATAAAGAATAACCTGGAATTAAAAAAAAAATATATTATATAATACATTAGCAATTACGTAAGTTATGTTGTTGTATATAGGGCATTAAACCTAATAGCCGGACAGACCAGTCAGCTTGGCCGGACATTTAGGTAGAAAGGTCGGACACTCTACATTTGTATCTCCTCGCCTGTGCACGACCAGTCTCGACGAAATGTAAAAAGCCGAACAACCCGTTAATTTTTACCGGACACGCAATCAAAAAGCCTGATGTCTATAATCCGGAAGCCTGGCAACGCTTGTATACATACCAGCTCCAGCAACGAACAAGAAGACAACAGCGACGATGTGTATAGGGCTTTCAAGATGTGGTCGGAGCTCGCTGCTAAAGAGACACGTCACAGCAGCCACTAGGAACAGGCACAGGATGAAGAACGAATTAAATAAGATCGATAGCTGCAGGAATTCTGGACGTCTCTGAAAAAAATAAAGATTGTTTGATAGCGTTTAAACCATTTCTATGTCCATTTAACAGTGGTGCCCGGTGCAATACCACACAAAAGACACCTGTCAAGTGGAAGAAATTCCGTGCTTCGTCTGATGAGTGTAAGTCCGGAGGCCTAATTTTAGTCTTCTTTTACTTCCCACCCTTTTCTTATAAGGAAAGGATGGAAAAGGAAAGTTGATGTAACGGAAGAGACGCAAGGGAAGGGAATATATCCTTTTCCTGTGAATCTTCTCGTCCGTCGATTAAAGGTAGACAATTGTGGATTTCTTTGGACAGCAGTCGTTTTGCCTTTTCGGCGAAGTTGGCTGCTTGCTCGTTTCCCACCCTATAATATAAAAAAATAAAAAAAACGTGGTCTATGGTACTCACAAATCCCATGCCTGCCAACACAACAAGATTACTGATGCCAGAGAGAGTAGAGAACATAATCATAGTCATGGAGATGAGGTTATCTTCTGTCTCTCTCAGCCTGTGACGAGGAAGATTCCACGCCCCCACTACTATGTATGTTATGCAGAATAACTGTAAAGAAGAACAGTGGTTCTTATCCTTATAGCACCTTCTAAAAGTCTTAGTAATGTAAGAATAAAATTTGGATGGATGGATGTTTGTTCCTGCTTATGTATCTCGCCTTAAAGAATTTCGATGAAGTTGCCACAAGTATAAAACATAATCTGAAAGAAATGATTTACCGTGGGTTTCTAAAATTAAAATAATGTTACCTATGTTCTGTCTGATAATGACAGAGGTCACGGTATGTTTTATACATTGATTTTAGTCTCAGAAAGCCATAGTTAATTTAAAAATAATACTTACAATAGACATAATGCATAGTGCGAAACATCCTGTCTCCAACGAGAGACATCCGCAACATCTTCGTAACATAGGTAGCACCATCTTGTTTCTGAATGCAAAAGAATATTTTCAATGAACCCACAGAAGACAGGCGTGAAGTGGAAGCTATTCCGCGTTTCGTCTGATGAGTGTGCGTCCCGGAGGCCTAATCTAGTCCCGTTTCCCTTCCCACCCTTTTTCTTATAAGGAAAGTATGAGAAGTGGAAGTGGACTTTCCGGATGAGAGGATGCATGGAAAGGGAAAGTATTTTCTTTCTGTGCATCCTCTCCTCCGTCGATTAAAGGTAGGAAACGCATCTGCAATCGCGTATGTGTATGGGCAACGGTCATTTTGCTATTTCAGCGATTTCAGGTGGCCTCTCGCTCGTTTGCCATCTTATGATATAAAAAAAAACAAGTTGTGACATTGTTTGGATGTATCTAGATTACTTTTGCCTAGTTAATGATGGAAAACATTTTGTTTGACAGCTCGACTTGTCAATTTAAGCGCCAGTTAGTATTTTCATTGAAATATGAGTAATTAAATTCTTAACTTTAATTCTTGGATTAAAATGAAACATTATTCATACTTATTACCTGTATCAAGAGTAGCTTATGCGTATTATCTTTTGTCGTCACTTAACTTGAAGTGGCATTATGACTTAAGCTTTTGTCATTAAAAAAAAAAGTTTAAAAAGAAATTAAAAGTGTCAAACTTTTTATTAGTCAATATAACTCATACGGAAGTAAAGGATATTTTTTTCTTAAATCGCATATATTAAAGCATTCAAAGACAATATTTTTTTTTACCATAACCTAACTACAATAACATCTTAAATTACAGCGAACCTCATTTCCTACCACAAATGACAAGTAATAATCTTAACCTATTAGATTACAGTATATAATGGATATGCAATCTAATTTAGACTCATTGGTATTGCAATAAAGTGCATTTTCATTGTACAATGTTGAAGGGTGACATCAGCATATTTATGAATTCGGTCCGCGAAGAACTTCGTCTCGTAGTCTGAAATAGCTCGTCCTATATATTGAAATATAATATTACTAATATTATAAATGCGTCTGTATGGATGTTTATTAGAAGGTATCTCCAGAACGACTAGGACTGCAATTTGGTATAGATGAATAACACATTAAGTTTTGCTTTTTAATTACACGCGGACGGGATGGCATGCGATCGCTAACATTTTTATTCATGATGCAAAGAAATTAATTTACTTGATTATTATTTTCTTTAAATAAATGAAGGTGGAATTGAAACATAATTAAATCATAAATAACGTTTTAATGTAGATGTTCTATATAAATGTTTTAACTAGCAGATTAATAACTACTAAAGGAAGATATTATAAATATCATCAAAGAGTTTGTGTTCATCAAAGAGCTGATTTATCGTGTATAGTAATAGTAAATTCGTAATTACGCCTCCGAATTATAAATTTATCGTAAGAGTTTGTTATATTTTAGATTTTTATTCGGTCGTAAATATTGACACTTAAAACTCGATAGATTAAAAGACCAAAAGTTGGCGGAGTGCCAAGTCTTAATAACCTCAAATATTACAAAGTAACTCACCTTCGATTGAAATCTGGAGATTAATATAACAGATTGAAATGTTCTTGTTTATTTATATTGTTTTTAGATATCATTGGGTGATATGGCCAAAATGACCATTTAGGCCACCGTTTCACGTTTAAAGAAAAAGTCTTCTGAAAATATTCCGACCAGTTGGACGAATAATCATGTCTACGTCCAAAAAAGAAATTTGTTGACCAAAAAGTAATAATAATAATATCTAAAATTGCAATCGTTTTTAATTCTAGGTCTAGCTACTTCGATTGAAATACTGGTAGCCTTGAAACCATGCCACTACAATATCGATTCATAAAACCTTCGGACAATTCAGTTCGTTCATTATAGTAAGTATAGGCTAACAAACATCTGTTTTGTTTCACTGTAAAATGAATCTAAAATTGTCTGTGAAATAAGTTATGTTTATTTCTCATTATTTAAACATAAATAAATGGCTATTATTAGAAATGCCACTTAATGGCGTAACTATGACACATTGTATTTTTTAAACTTATGCAAAGACCTAAGGTTGTGATAGGTTAGAAAACTTTTAGCTTCTGTGTTTTTTTAAATTTTTGATTTAAACTGTTTCTTAGATGTTTGTCACTTTCGCAGTTTATTTTCTCATGATTTATAATGTTACGGATTTATATACAGAGTTTTGTACGGTCGGTACTCTGAATTAATATTTAAAAGCTACAATATTTTTTGTTATAATTAAAAGTGCAACAGAAAATTCTAAAAAACATCAAAAATTTACATTTAAGAAAAGTCTTCATTTCTTTTTAAAATGTGTCCTAAATTCATATGTAAGAAGAAGATTGGTTTGTTTTTATATCAGTTGGGGTTTGAAAAAAGAACGATAAAAATAAATTTTAGGCAGTAATAAAATGTTAAATAATTCTATAATGTGTTTGCATGGTGACCAATCAATAACTATAAAAAATATAATATTAGTAATATTACGTTATTATATTTTATATACCTATGTTCAATAAATGACCTATGACTTTATCAATGTCTTCTTTTCGTTAATATAATGTCATAGTTCGTTAAAATTTCGAAAGAACTTAAATAATTATCCTTTTACCAGAACTAAAAAATATATTAAGCATATTTATTAGACTTCGACAAACGTCATTTTTTACTAGAACGTTCTGGAAATAAAAAATGGAATAGTTTCCTTTTCGCACACTTTCTCGCATTTTATAAGTCACAAACGATTTTTAATTTGAAGAAACATTAGCACAAAACAATACTAACGTTCAAAATATTTTCTTGTTACGCTGCATTGCATTAATTCTTGTTTTATTGCCAAAAACTTTTCAAACACAAAATGTGAAAAATGTTCAAACACAGAATTCCACAAGTTCTAAATTCCATTTCACTTATTGTTTTATGACGTTATTAAAAAAATATTGATGAATTTATGTTTAACAGATTAAAAAAAAACAACGGAACGCACTGCGCTGCGGTTTATAAACAACTGACGGGCGATTTGGCGCCAAACGCGCTTCCTACATTACGACCATGGCCTTGTGACGGCCATTGCTGAGGGCTTAATTTATTTATTAACTGCATCTAATTGTTTTAAAAGAAATTTCTTCTCAAATGAACGATATAATGCTGTTTGTTTTGAAATTACTTTAAGACTTTTCACATACAGTGTAATTAAAAATTAATGATAATTTTTCTTATTTAAAAGTAGTCCAAGTAATTACGTGAACACACACAGATATGAATTTATTACTCCGTATATTCATTTATAACTAATGCTTATTTTTATTCTTATTGGTCATCTGCATTATAAATAATAATCCCCACTTGAACACAAGCCCAGGAGCAATCGTATTTCATAAATTACGGCTAACAAAAAATGAATGAAATAAACAAGGAACAAAAAGAAAGAGACAACATGCTATGCACACTTTAATACTGGATGTGGTTAACGATAACGTGTTGTCACTAAAATAACTGCTTTTTGCAACGACCGTTATTAATGCTATTTAACGCTTAAAGTTTTGATATAATTTTTTTAAATCAGAACTTAAATTTGATTAATTAAAATTTATAAGGTATAAAAGTATTTTAGTAACAACTCAAAAATAAAAAGTTTTGTAACGTGCTACTTATAAATTATCTGTTTTAATATGAGCGAATGAATTAAGTATATTATTTCTTTCTCTTTTTAACACACTGTAACGGTACATCTCTTGAGCTACAAGCAAATTAGGACAGGTTTTTTTTACCTCACAGCATTTTTGCGCTTTGGAAATCCCGATATCTTCATATCGTATAAATTAAGAGGGCCCAATAAAAACACATCGATGTGTCTGATTCGTTTTCATGAAGATTTAAGTCAATCCTAACTTATGTCTAAAGGTTTAAATTAGATACAAAATAAAAAGAAAAAATAGGCATTTTTTATTCGTTTATAATTTTACTTTACATTTACATCTCTTTCGATAAATAAACATTTTATCACAGATGTACTTAATATTTATAATTTTAATTTATTTTTTTCGTAGAGTTTTGTTATTATAAAATAAATGACAAAATTCATAAATACTTTTTTTTTTATATGACTAAAAACTATATTTCGTAAGTACAATCGAGCAGAAAAGTGTTAACAATTGTTATTCACTTTCGCTTATTTGGTTAGGAATTTAGAAAACATCACCAATGTAAGTAATACTTATAGAAAATTAACATAAATCTATATTTTTAAATCTTAAGTCTTACTAATATTATAAATGCAAATGTTTGGATGGATGGATGATTGTTTGAAGGTATCCCCAGAACGGCTGCATGCATTTCGCTAAAATTTCACATAGATGTAGAACATAGTCTATTTGAAGTTTATTTGAATTCTACGCGGACGGAATCGCGGGCGACAGCTAGTTACAACATACAAATGGCAAGAGATGGCGCAGGACATGTGATGTTGATAATCTTTAGTGTCGGAGGTCAAAATTTCACCAGCAGAGTACCTTTTTTCTTGACTTATAGTAATTTATTCCTGCCCTAAGGTGACCTAATTATTGGGACGCTAAGTACTCTTTTTATTCCTTTCTCTAATATAGATAACTAAATTCTATTGTCTATTCCAGTTGTTAAACTATCTAAAAATAGTGTTTTACTGCATGGACGCAAATTCCTTCCATAACTTTAAGAGTACATTAAATAATGACGTTTCGTCATTTTCACTTGCAAATCTTGTCCGTTTGATGTGAGTATTTTAAACTCTCTTACATTTTTTTAAATTCTTTCTTGAGCGTTTCGATTCATATCTTTTAGACACTCTCTGTATTTGTCTTCGGATAAGGATCAAGTGTTAACCAAAACGATCTGATGACATACAAAAAGTATGCGTTGAACGCTGAAATGAAACATTATATTTTAAAAGAACTTACTTAGACATTATTAGTTAGAATCCTTTGTCGCGAATGGCGCGATTTCATTACAAAGTCAAATGTCAGAATGATTAGTGAGGGGACATAAACGGCGACATTCTAGTAAGGCTAGTGTTGTGCAGTACACCGACACAGTGTCAGATTTTCTTCCTAACAGAATGAAGAATATAGATTGGGTTTTGAAATTTTCAAGATACAGGAGGCTACAAACGGACATACATGCCCTTAAAATATTCTACCTTTTGTTTAGACAAAGAAACGATGTGCTGGAAATTAGTGGTTTATGGTTAATTTAACATCACATGGAGATTGATCTAACGTTTTCTTTACCTATCCAACCCAGTTATCCATTAATTTTAAGTTTAATTCACTTACCAATAGCTATACTGTTTCCAACGGATTCTGACCTTTCTTTTTCCATAATAAGTTCAGCCATAATGGATACGATTATAAACAACACGAGCATCATTACACTGAATATCAAATAATTTCTTAAGAATTTCCAATTTTCCTGAAAAGAAAAAATATATAATAGAACATATATTTTTCTTCGTAACAGCATACAATCTACGACTACATTAAAGCTGTGTCATTAATTGTTGAAGATTTATCCACCATAAAATTCTATTACATAGGCCACATAGGAAATCATACCACGAGCAAGTAAAAGAGCACCTATGTGCTTTAGTTAGCAACACAAGTTCACAATGACTACACAGAAGACAGGCATGTTATCAAAGTATTTACTTGTCTCTTGAGTGGTATCGAGAGCCAATTCTTCATCTCTCTTCCAATTTTTATTGTAAAGAAGATGGACTTTAAGATATATGGATATCAGTAATCTCCAATGCCTTAGGTTACCTGCTCGATTTTTTGATCTCTCGTATAAGAAAAATATTCAGAATTACCGTGTACAATCCGACTAGCAAGACAATAGTATATGCTACAACAGCTACAGCGACGGCGATCACAAAAGCACCGGCGAACAGGATGAATAAGATCACTTCTGCTAAATATTCACTGTCAGGGGAGACATCAACTTGAATAACTCGAGCGAAGTAGTACTGTACGGTTGTGACACAGTACTCAACCGTACGGGTCTGGAGTGCCTAGATAACATAGAATTTATACAGTGGATAAGAAGTTATAAATATAAGCAAATGGTAAAGGTATGACAAAGACCGGCAACGCATCTGCGGTTCCTCTGGTCTTGCAGATTGTCATGGGCGTCGATGAATATTTCGGTGTTCCAGTAGCTCGTTTGCCCCCTACTCTTATAAATGCGTTTGAGTGTTTAAAGCTCAAATTGCTACAGATATTCAATTTCCGATAGAAGACTGCATCAAAAGAACATGTAATATAGTAATATTCAGGTTTTCTTCTGTGATGTATCAATATTGGGTTCTCTTTATCCCCTATCGTTGGCTTAGGCAATATAAGCTATTATTTTTCAAAACACACATCACCACTTAACATTAAATTATGGGAAATAACGTAGAATTAAAAAAAATCATACCAGTAATAAATAAGCGAAGATATAGCATGTTACTTTCCAATTTATAAAGAAACAGCATTTCTCTGGTTTCTGCACTGTCATACTAAATCTGAAAGTGACAAAAATATTATAAGTACTCTATTGCCTAAACGCAACTTTTTTCTAAACTTGCTTAGCTTTTTTCAATTGTGCAACGGAATATTTTTTCCTCGATATCATCATCACCATGTTCCAGATCGATAACTAAACGGGGAAAAATGCTAAAAAAATCTTTTTTTAATATTTTTCCCCGTGTATTTACCGATCTGGCTATAAACCATTACTGTTTATTCGTTGAATTTTAGGGACACGCTGTATATCCTACTTCCTAATATTTTAAATGCGAATGTTTAGATCGATGGAAGGATGTTTGTTTGAAGGTATCTCCAGAAAGGAGCAACGGATCTCGATGAAATTTGACACAGACGTAGAACATAGTCTGAAAGAACACATAGGCTACTCATATTTTTTAATTCACCGCGGGCGGATTCGCGGGCGATACTGGTTATTCAATAAAAGTGACAACGTACAAATCTGGACGTTTTTTTTTAATTTTACAGAAATCGCGCAAAAGTCCGAAAAATTATTATTATCAAATATACAGAACCTAAATACCTTAGTGATGATATAAACTTATTCTTTATATTCATAACAAAGTATGCGAATAAGGAAAACCTTAGCAAATAAAGACCAGTTTTTGTTATCCCATTCTAATATCCGTTCATCTCTTTCTAACATATTTTTTCTACCTTATCCTTTCATTCATTCCTTTTTCAACTCCGTCTATAAGATAGATTAAAAATAATATGTTTTCATATGTTTTTAGTAAAACTAAGGCGAAACTTTGAAGGAAACTTTCTTTGGGAATATTTATGGTATACTCACTAATCTCTATAAATGGACAGGCTATGAGACGTGGTATGTTGTGCCTTTTTGATTTTCGTCATTTTAGCGCTAACGGTGTTTATAGGGCTGGTGAAAGTTCGAACAAATAATAAAGATAGAATTAGAAGAACTGTCAGTAACATAAACAAAGACGTTTATATCGGAGCGATGGGAAAGATATAATTTCTATTAGACCTATCCATTTATAAAGATGAGTGGGTATACTAATATTTTACTGTTTGGAAAGAAGAATCTATTCGTTTCGTCAATTTATTTATTTATAATCATTTTTGTTGACATTTAAATGACAATTTTGATGTAACGATGTTACACTGTACTGTTTTGAAAAATATTTTAGTTTAAGTTTACATATAAACGAAATATAAACGTGTGTTTAAATATTGGAACACACAAAAACTGTTCAACTGAACACAGGTGATCCATGACAAAGGTGCGTAATAAAGTATGAATGTAATTGAAACTATAATTCTGGAAGTAATCGTTTTAAGAGCCTGTAAGAATTAGTTGCAACCACATTATGTTAAAAGTAAACATTATTAACAGAATAAGGTTATTAAAAAGTAGCCGTTATTTATTTTTCATAATTGATATTGCATAAAAATATAAGTTACTAAGTATAGTCGAGATAAAATATGATAAAATGTTTATAAAATAAAAAATCATCCTTTACCATATCTCATAATATTTTACAGCAAAAAATACGCAGTTAGAATCTTATTTATGTATAAAAAGTAAACGTTGAAACCATCATTGCCACGACACAGTAATAATGTTTAACAATACATTAAACAAAAACTTACATTCAATTTCATTACTTAAAAATATAAGTCAAGCAGTTAAAGAATTAGATACTTATTTGTCTTTGTACATTTGTAAATAACATATCAAAAATATAGACAGAAATATAACGTATATTTATTTTGTTCGCGATTGTCCATGTGAAAGTTCAAAGACGTTATTTACCTTGTTAAGTTTACGCGAACTCCAATGAAAATTTATACCTTATAATAAAAAAGCACTAATTTTATTTTGCACGGCACATAACACAAAACTTTCGATACGTAATACCAATGCCAATGGGTTCATGTGCGTTGCGCAAGTGACTAAGGCTAAGGTTATAATCATATAAACAAAACGAGAAATAGTGACTACACTCGTTATAACGCTACGTTTATAACATATGCTATTAACGCGTTATTAAAGTTATTTTTTTTAAAAACAATTCGTTTTTGGATTTATTATTAAATATAAATCTTGAACTAAATACAAAGATGGTATAATAATATATAACAAAATAAATACGTCACTATACGAATGTTGTTGAATGAAGATTCATAAACCTGTTACTTTAAACTAATATTGGCCATAGCAGCTTTTTGCTTAAAAAATCGCTAAACCTTGCAAGCTCTTTGCCCACCTGTTGCCGTTTTGTCCATTCATTTTGTTGTTTGTTTCCGTCTCTTTTTCACATTAACAATTTTCATACGAGTAAATGAGATAATAGGGAATAATCCTCTTTCCATAGCATCCTCGTTGGAATTTCCATTACCGAGTATTTATGTTTACATGCACAATATTACGCAATTTTAATTGGAAATTCCAGCTGTATTAGAATGTTTGCAGTTAATATACAATTAAATTGCTAGAAATTGTGACATTGCACATTATGGCGCGCCCCATAGCTAATTTTCAGGATAAAGATTTGGACTTTCTCTGCATTCTATTCTACAAAATGTATGAAAAATCGTGTGAACTGGTTGGTGTCGGTGGCCGGTCTGCGCTGGGCCTCATGCTTTTGAATTTCTCTTCGGTTCAATCACTCAAAGTTGTAATTTCATTTTGTTTCAGATATCAAAATGTTTGTTTGTCGCAACTGTTGCCTTTGCATGGACTTACGAAAAGGATGTATAGCTATAGCGTATTGTCAAGCGGTAACAAAAAAATATATAATTTTTTTAGAAAAAAAAAAGATAAAATCGTATTAACATTATTGATAGTGGCAATATTCCTTATTTATTGACCTTAAGACAAAAGGGGGAAGAATACGAATCGAAAATAATGGCTATAATTCGTAACATGCACCAGACTTATTAGTTACTAGCAGTCACCCACGACTGTAACCGCGCGGAATTAAAAAAAAAACTTAATTAGTAGTCTATGCATTCTTCCACACCATGTTCTACATCTATGCCAAATTTCATCGAGATCCGTATAGCTTTTCTGGAGATACCTTCTAACAAACATCCATTCGCATTTATAATATTAGTAAGATTTTTAGTAAGCAGTACACGAGAATATATTCTATTTGTCCTACCAAAATAAGCTAAACTGTTTAATTGTAGGTCCAACAAATATTACTAATGTTTTATACGTTGCGAGCTTTATTCGAAGACTTTTATTTCTTCAAGACATGCAGTAAGGCTTTGTACGAAGAGTCGTCATTTACATTTGCGTACTCAAAGGCACTACATCTTTTCTTACATACACTATATTTGATTTTAACAGCTTCATTATTGGTTGGATTACATAAGGTAACACGATTTTTATTTAAAAAAACTCAATTGATTCTAGTAGAACGATACTTAGGAGAATGTATGTATGACCCTTCTCTCGACGGAATCTTACATACGCGCGAAAAACATTCTGTCTTCGATCTTAGTTAATAGGTTTAAAATGCAATGATAAGAGTTGAAATATAATTTATTTTTAATTTTTTGAGGCACTAGCTGTTGCCCATTAGTGCGCGCGGAATTAAAAAAAAATCAGCCTAGGTGGTTCGAGACTATGTTCTACATTTATGTCAAATTTCACCTTAACACCTTATACCAAATACCTTCAAACAAACATCCATACATCCTAACATTCGCATTGATAATATTCGTAAGATATTTTTTTTTTCACAGGGAATGACAAGAATTGTAAAAGACTATTTGATATCGACATTTATTTTCTTGGTATTCTATGCCTTGTTATATCTTTTAGCGTGGATTTGTTTAAATGAATTTGAAATAGACGGTGTAGGACCGCCTATAAATTTAAGTAAGTATTTGTGTCATAAATTATCCATAACAAAAGGTAATTTTATTTTATAAGCCAAACTATAAAGTCACCCTTAACTTATGGTAGGCTCCGAGCCCCTCAGCGGGGACATGTAGTGAGCTGATGATGATGATAAAGTGATGAAAACAAGTCTGACAGTAAAAAATAGCAAAACATAATTTAATGAATATTGCTATTATAATTCCACAGTTGGAAGAACTTGAATGTATTTTGATGATAATTTTTTTTATTTGTGATAAAAAATAAGCTCAAGTTTAAAATTGAATTAAAAAATAATTCAGCCAGAAGAGTCCTCTTGTTCCTGACGTGCCAACTCGTATGTTTATAATTTATATTTTTTCAGCACTTAATGTCTATTTTCTCCTGATGATGCGCAGCTATTGGTTGAAGATGCACGCGAAGCAATCTTTTAGCATGAATGCGTAGTGTTTGACGCCATTTTTTCTGACAATCAAAATGGCGGTATCTTAAAATGACAGCTGTCATACGTAAATAAAAACAAAGTTTAATTTTCTATGTCCTGTCTAGTTTCGTAATATTTATTTATAATTTTTATACACATGAAATGTTTGAACTTTTTAAATGTATATTTTAATAATAAATCATGAAGATAATGTCCGGTTGTATCGAATTATTCGGTTCCAGTAACTCCTTATCACAAAGATGAAGTACACGTGTAGTACTGAAAAGAAATACAAAATCCTATGAGTATTTTATAATTTTTTTGTAATCCCGTGCGGACGGAGTCGCGGGCGACAGCTAGTGTATGACAGTTTTCTTTGGCTTGACTTACTTAAACTGAGGATCTTGTAGGCTACATCAATTACTGACACTAGCAGTAAAGGGAAGGAGACGAAGCTTGTGGTAGCCGCTACTATCAAATAAATCATAGCGCATAGAAGATATGCTCGGATGTAAGCGTCTTTCTTCTGCAAAAAAACATTCGAAAATGCGTGATAAATTAAGACAAATGAAACATTCAACACAACAATTCAGTTTTATAAAACTAAATGAGGGATGTCTAAATCACTGATCTCTAAAAATGAACTGGCTTTAAGTCGTCGTATTCTGTGCCTATTTGATTTTCGCCATTTTGGCGCTGATGGTAGTGTTTTGTAGCGGTGGTGTGGATTGGAACTAATAATATTGATAAAGTTAACTGTCACACAACAACGCGTTTTAATCGGAACAAAACAAAAGCTGTTAAAAGCAATCACATCTCCATTTATAGAGACTCTGTATGCAGCATTAATTGTGAGTTTATGAGACCAAAATTTCAATTTAAAACAAAAGGTTAATCTCAGTATATAACATATCGTCATCCCTGTCATTATCTTTGACAAAACAGAGATAATAATATGTTTTAAACGATTTTGGTCAGTTATAAAACAAATTAACGTTACCTTATGCAGACCAATAATTAAGACGATGGTAAACACCAGCATGAGTGCTATAGCGACAAGGAAGAGTCCACTTAATGTCATCATTATGAAACCCATGTCAGTGATCGCCTTAATTGTCGATGTAAGCATTATAGAGCCCTCCACTATTCCATACAGGGATAATCCTAATGTAACAACTTCGATTAACTGTAATATAATATGTTTTGTTAATATTAATAATTATAATAAAACAATTCAATATTTCATTCATTTACACACCAACGCACTCAGGCGCACACACGCACACAAATAAACATACTCATCATCAGCTCACTATACGTCCCCACTGAGGGCTCGGAGCCTACCCAAAGTCACAGGTGACTAGGCCATAGTCAACCACGCTGGCCCAATGCGGGTTGGTTGACTTCACATATATCCTTGAATTTCTTCTCAGATATGTGCATCGCGATGTTTTCCTTTACCGTAAGAACGTCGGATAAATGTACATATATAAATTGGAAATCGAAAAACACATTGGTACATGGCGGGGTTCGAACCCAGGACCTGCAGATTGCAAGTCAAGTGCTTAACCCCTGAGCCACCGACGTATAAACATACTACGTAATTAAAATCAGATAAACTCGATTAACTCCACTAAATTAGACCTAGGGAAGACATTAAGTGAATCTGTCATAATTATAAGGGCAAACTATAGATCACAAATAAACGTCAAAAATTAAATATCGTTACCAATTGAAAGTATGCGATGATCAAACAGCCAACTCTTAATTTGACGCAGAAGCAACATTTCTCCACTATAAATATTGTGTTCGGCATTCTGAAAAAAGTAAACAATATTTGTTATACTTTAAAAACAAAAAAACCAACTTCTAACCAATACTTAGACGAAGAACTCCAGATTAAAGGAGGTTACAATGTTTTGACTTCATATATGCAATTAACATTTATCCGTCTGTATGGGTTTAAAACAGTTGAACATCATCATTATCAGCTTACTATACATCCCCACTAAGGGACTCGGAGCCTAACCTAAGTCAGGGTTGACTAGGTCATAGTCAACATTGACCCAGTACAGGTTGACTTTACACATATCTTTGAATTTCCTCTCAGATATGTGCAGGTTGCATCACGATGTTTTCCTACACCGTAAGAACTTCGGAAAAACACATTGGTACATGATTTGCACCCAGGATCTGCAGATTATAAATCAAGTGCATAACCCTTAAGCTACCGACGCTCTCCGCAATTTTTTTTTTTTGTGACTGATTGCCACTGTTTGCCTTGAGGAGGCATTTACAGCTTCACCGGGCTTGAGGTGGCCTAGCGCAGATGGCACTTAGCCTAAACCTCGTTTAAGAGTAACTAAGCTCGAGGGCTCCCTCAGGAACCTCGGCTCGGGCCGTTACTTCGTTATTATTACCGGATTGGACGCTCTCCGCTAGTTATGATGCATTACTAAGGAGTTTTGCATATTAATTTTAATATATTATTGTGCGAACGAGACATCTAAATTTTGATTTGCATCGTAAGTTAACATTAGTGAAAGGTCTTGTAAAAATCTTTAATACATGATATGATTTTAGACCGGTTTAAATTTATTATTATCTTAACAAAGTTTAATATTAAAAATATTAAAAGTCACGGCCAAATGAAGGCTATAATTATCGGATATACGGATTAAATTGTTTTAATATACAACTCCTAAGATATTTGGTTTTTTGCAAAGAAAGTAATGCATTTTATGTAAAAATTGCTTTGTTATTATTATTCTAGTTCTTAATTCCTAATCTTTCTGCACGAAGATGTTAAATAAAGCAATTAGAAGTGCTTGAAACCTAATGGCTAAGGGTACATTCGATCCAGTGGTTCAAATACTTTCGTCTATACCAGCACAAGCCTAGAGTTTTGTTGATAACAAGAAATGTTAGTATACAAGCTTTTGCTTGCAACTTCTTCCGTATACACCTAAAAGAAAACATGGTTAGTAACCTATGTTCTACCAGACTAAGTTCTACACTGTGTCAAATTCCATAAATATCCTTTTAGCCTGGTTTGAAGTATTACAAACATACATCCAAACTTTATTATATTAGTAAGATTAACAACATCTGTTAATACTTAAAATTAAATTTAAATAATAATATCAAGATCCCCGATATTGATTATATAAACGTTTTAATATAAACAAAGATTTTAATAAGAAATACGATTTATTATTTGAATTAATACGTATACATTTATGTTAATTAGTAAATTACTGTGATATCACTTTAGATTTATTTTCGATGCAGTTTTAATAAAACAATGCTGTTTTTAATATATTTAAAACATCGTGATATTTATAATCTATGTTTGTTCTTTTCTATTATTTTATTGTCATTTAGCTATATTTAGAAGTAATATTGGCTGATGAGTTTGTGTTGGAGGCCTTTTTCTAGTCATCTTTCCCTTTCCATCCTTTTCTTATAAAGAAAAGATGGGAAGATTTATTTAACGGAGGAGTGGGCTATTTTTAGCAGAGATATTTTTCTGCGCGTCCCCTTTTCCGTCGATTACAGATAGGAAATGCATTTGCCATTGCGGATGTCAGCGCATTATTAGCAGCTAATTTATTTGACTTACCTACTAATATTTGATTAAAATAATTAATAAGTTCGTCAAAACCTTATTTATAAAAAAAGTGAATTTTAATAACCTCAAAATTTTCTTCCATATCAGTTAAAATACTCTTTCAGACAAACTTTCTTTACATGATTTTATTTTTTCTTAAATTAATATTTACTAGATACTCACCTTTTGTTTTTTTTGTAGCTTGTACCAACATATAAATGTCAGTTTACCAAAGTAAAAGTTTAAACAAAATGGTCCATGTATTCACAATGCCACTTCTACAGATACTGACGATATTTTTAAATAATCTACTTTTAGCATCTTGTATAACCTGTTTATTAGCAATAATATTAATACAAGTAAATAAAGATTAAAGTTTTTTTGGATTTGCATTCATAATTTTTAAAGAAAATTTGAGTTTCACAATTTGATTATGGCACAATTATTATCTTCCGTAAATGATCTAATAACTCTTATTTCAGAAACGAACATAAAAACATTTTTTGCTATTGTTTGAGAATAATTATTTAGCAAAAAGTAATAAACAAGTAAACTGCCTTATATCGGTAGAATAATGAAGTGAACTATAAAATTGCAATAATTCGTAATTGAAAGTTTGCTACTGGAAAATCTACAGGCGCTTGTAAGTTGTATCGAAACAAGAAATTTGCGGAAAATTCTCATTGATTTCAAATTCATGCATCAGATAAGAGCTTATAAAGTGAATAGGAGGAAACTTGGAGATTGAAAATACTGGTTTTAGAACTAATATTACTAACGTAATTTTGTATACGAGTCTGTTAAAAAAAAATGTCACCATTATGTCATAAGATAGTTGGCCATTTTATATATTATAAAAAATATAATTCCATCTTGATACTGTTGTATTAATTGCTGCTGTTAATCTGGGAGCGTCGGTGGCTCAGGGGTTAAGCACATGACTTGTAATCTGCGGGTCCTGGGTTCGAATCCCGCCATGTACCAATGTGTTTTTCGATTTAAATATGTACATTTATCCGACGTTCTTACGGTGAAGGAAAACATTGTGATGCAACCTGCATATATCTGAGAAGAAATTCAAAGATATTTGTGAAGTCAACCCTTACTTGGCCAGCGTGGTTGACTATGTCCTAATCACCCCTAACTTAGGGCATTCTCCGAGCCATTCGTTGGAGACGTATAGCTGGTGATGAATTAATCTAAAATAAAAAAAAAAACAAACCAATCAAAGCGATATCGTCTGTTTCAGACACAAATTGGAAACATAAGCGAACTTATGCCAGATGGGTGTAACACGAGCTTTTACTGATAAATAAACCGTAAATATGGTGTTGTACTAAACAATATCATTTCATAATTTAATATACATCGTCTCGTAAACAAAGACTATGATATATCAAGCTTATTGTCAGCGATCAATGGATATTGAATTAAACGGTACATTATTTATAATACTAGCTTAGATTTGATAGTAAACATTGGAATTTGTTCATTTCGATTTTCGATTGCTTCAGTTAAAGTGGTATTGTTATAATGAATTCCACTTACAATTCAACGGTTTCTGATCACTCCGTTAAATTGTATAGTATACTTTGGTTGACCGGGATATGTGCATCAATTATTGGTGTGTTTCTTATGATTTGTTTATTTATATGTATACCGAAGTGTAGAAAATTCGACGAGAAAGTTCTCTTCCAATTGGCTATTGCAAGATTATTGAATACAATATGTGAATATTATATTATATATATGGAATTTCGGAATTATATAATGGTTAATATTATATATACGGTATACATGCAGACAGATTTTGTTTTACTTATGTGGATGTTTGTGTTTTCAAAGAATTTGTACGATAAAGTGGTGAATGTTTTCGGTGTAGAAAAACCAAATATGTTGATACGTTTTATTTTAATTTGGATTATATCAATACCAGTTGGTGTATTATGTCCATTTTTAATTAAAAAAGGTCATTTCAGTTTATATTATGAAATTTATGCTCACATTAAATTAATTATAATAATTGTTAATTCGTTATTTTTCTTGAAAATATTTTATGTTGCGGTTACAAAAGTGAACACGACAAGGAATGTTAAAGATGTAATAAAATTCGCTATTATTGCGTTTATTTTAATCTGTATAAGTAGTTTGCAAGTTTTCCTAACGGATATTTTATCTTTTTATTATTATAAAAATGTTAATATAATCTATGTTTTCTGTGTGATTAATTCCTTTCAAGTGATTGCGTTTTTTGTTATTTTTATGAATTTAGTTAATAGTAAAACTAATCGATCTTTAGTTACATCAGTATCAATAAAACTAAGTGATCTTGTAAAAAGACCATAGTGTATAAAAAATGTTTTATATTATTTTAACAGTGGTAGAGCCCGCTTTAACTAACAGTGGTAGAGCCCGCTTTAACATCTTCGCACGAATTGTCCCGGCTCGCCCGGTGAAATAACACGACCACACAGAATACAGGCGTGAAGTGGAAGCAATTCCGCGTTTCATCTGTTGAGTTGCGTCCCGGAGGCATAATTTTAGTCCTCTTTCCCTTCTCACCCTATCTCTTATAAGGAAAGGATGGGAATGAAAGTGGATTTTCCGTATGAAGGGATGCATGGAAAGGGAAAATATTTTCTTTCTGTGCATCCTCTCCTCCGTCGATTAAAGGTAGGCAACGCATATGTAATTTCGTATGTCTATGGGCGACGGTCGCTTTGCTATTTTAGCTATTTCAAGTGGGCGCTCACTCGTTTGCCAACTTATGATATTAAAAAATTTCTATTTTATATCATTTTAAGAAGAACATAAAGCTATTTTTAATCATAAATAAGACTTATTATGAATTGTTAATAATTTCGACAAATGAGCGACCGATTTTTGTATATTATTAATTATTCTTTTAACACCAAAAGTTACCAACTTTTAGTCTATTTTTATTTAACTTTTTAATTAATTAACATTGAATACGATTAGTTCTTAGTTTATAAGTTTAGATTACTTTAATTTGATAACTGTATCTGGAGACTGTACCATAAAGTAAACTGTAAAGTTTCCTTTTCTTCTTCTTCTTGAGGTGCCTATCCGACTAACGAAGGTTTGGCGATCAGTTCTCCATGTTTCCTTTTATATTTACTTTAAATATTATACGTACTTAAGTATTATAATAAAATTTGATATTAATATAATCTTTTATTACACTTTCAAAATAATAACCGTGATAATTAATAATGTTTCTTGTAATGATAAAATATACAATTAATAACAAAATGAACACAGAACCCAGAGGTGTAGGTAAATGGCCCTTAACAACACGGAAATTTCGCGTCAAAAAATTTCTTTATTTTATCTCCATTTAACTAAAACTACAAATTCGTCTTTAATCTACAATCACGTAGTTAACTTTTATAACTAACTAGCTGTCTCCCGTGACTCTGTCTGCGCGGAATTAAAAAAAAATCATAAGTGAATAAAGTTCAAATTGACTCTACATTTTATTTAGAAAACGTTTTTATGGGAAAAAGAAAAGTGCTGTTTAGGATTTTCCTGGCAATTATTCGAATTTTCCTCAACTTTTTAACGTTCCATAGACCTCAATGAACATTTCAAGACCAAGATAAGATAAATCTGTTCAGCCGTTCTCGAGTTTTAGCAAGACTAACGAACAGCAATTGATTTTTATATACATAGATTTGGTTAGTTTACGATCAAATTTTTCCCTAACGTTTACCCAATAGAATTATCTTTACATAACGGACACAGCCTCTAGTTATATAATAAATAATTAATTTATTCTATCAATATTTTAAATATAAATTTAATAGGTATTTGTTGAAAACGTGACTTTATTTTAATATTAAAAAAAGTGAATAAAATTCAATTTTAAACGATCGAAACTGGAATAAGTCCCTTGAATACTAAAGTAATAATTCGTAACCAAAACGAAGTTATTTAAATGAGGCGCCTTCAAATAATTTTCTATTATCTAAAGTTACAAGTACATAATGTTATATAGTAGAATAAGGTTTTATATTAACATGTTAAGTCTGGAACATTGACCGAGACATGTTTTCGTTAAGGCATTGATTGAAATTACAGACTACCCGACGCCGTGTCTGCCACAGATTATATACAGTTCAGAAGGTGGAAAAGTAAGGAGAACAATTTGAAGTTATATAAGTAAATAAATAACGAAATACAACATGATTTCAAATACAATATAAAAAAAATAAACATACAGATGAATTGAGAACCTCCTCCTTTTTGAATTCGTTTAAAAAATAGAAAATTTGTCAACCATGTACGTATATTATTGTAACTTAAACTCTCAAAAATAGTTTGCGTTGCCTTTTAAAACTCTCAAACATTGTTTAAAAGCTCATAACTATGTAAGAATCCGACTTTACAGACGATAATGTGCCTAGTACGAGTATAATGGTGAATTTCCCATTTACACTACATAATCTTTGGCGATTTCCCGAGACACGGGGGCCAACATCTCGGCTCAGTCTCGACGCAACTCCCCTGCAGACCTGTGCCACTGGAAATTAACAGGAATTTTTATAAGAAAATATATTTAGAAGCAACTAAATATGTAAGTAAATCTTACTTCTTACTAATATTATAAATGCGAATGTTTAGATGGATGGATGGATGTTTGTTAGAAGGTATCTCCGAAAGGGCTTGTTATAAAGTTATAAGGCTATTATAGTAACTCTGTTTTGAAGCTTTTTATTTAAGAAGAAATTAAGTTGATTCTGGTAAAATTAAAAATTGCTTCTATTAACATTCATTAGTATAAAACACTATAAATTAATTTACAAAAAAGGTTTTATGTTGAAAATATACCGGGAAAAATGGTCCTATTCTCACACCATTTTTCCTTTATTTAACAAACTAGATATATTTATCCCCATAATAGTTTATGAAATAATTTAAAACAAAATACACCTCAATATTCAAAATCAGGTCAACTTTCAGTTCAAGGAAACTTCCTATACAATCAACGGAATACATATTCGATTCCTTTTTTATATTATAAAAGGATAAAAGAGCGAACGACCTCTTGAAATCGCTTAAATAGCGAAGCGACCTTTGCCCATAGACATATGCGTCGCCTAAAAATATCCTGTCAGTAAAATTTCTTTTTTTGAACAGCAAAGGATGTTTGTCTTTTTATGTTAACTGTAGCCCGCAATTCAATCCGTGCGGAATTAAAAAAAAAATGAATAAGTAGCCTGTGTGTTTTTTCAGACTATGTTCTACAAGCCAAATTTCAGTGAGATATGTTCAGCCGTTTCGGAGACCTTCAAACATCTATCCATCTAAACATTCGCATTTATAATATTAGCAAGTGTTGTACAGGGATTTAAATAAAAAAAAAACCCTTGTTTGCAGAAAAATGTGTTAATATTGTAGAACATGAATAACAGAAAGACATAGAAAACTGATTTGACGTTACTAAATTCATAAGTTTTAAATTTCTTCTTTTTTCTTAGATTTAATGGCTGCTAAAATGTAAAAACTCCTTTAACAAGTGTCTCAATGCAACGAGTTATTGCGTTTGAGTAACATGATATGACTATGTTAGTTATAAATTTATATGAGTATTAATTAAACACAATTTATAGCGAGCCATGGGTCTGCCGCAGTTGGATACGTGCTGTTTTGTTTTCGATTTGAAGTCCGGGAACATTATCATGGGATGTTTGAACGCGGTAAATAATTTTTTTGAATAATTTTTATACATTTAAGTGTGATTTTTGTATCTCAGGTAACTAAATAATGTCAACAGTCTAATTGTTGGCCTTATATTAGTTCTCTCTACAAATATTTTTGTTTTCTTTTAGATCGCAATTTCCTTATTTAGTTGACAAGCGCCACTGCAGAACTCTAGACCTTTAGTAAAATAGCTTCTAAATTGTTTTTTAAGTCCTTTAGTGGCAAAAAATCTTGCAGGAAAAAACTAAACGGCTAATTTACAAGTAATTAAAATACTTTAATACCTCTATACATGGATAGGCTATTCTTCTTCTTCGTATTCTTCATTACTGAAGGTCGTGCTTGTCCTGGTACGCTTCAACGGCCGTGTCGAACAGCTGCCGCCACGCCGTCCTGTCTTCGGCTTGTCTCAGGGCAGTCGTGATATTAAGTCCCAATATAGGCTGCACTTGATCGGACCAGCGAGTAGGTGATCGACCCCGTGACCTTTTACCCTCTATCTTTCCACCATTATGTCGCTTATGGTATTGGTTTTTGTTGGTGGTGACAATTGGAACTAAAAATAGAGATAGGATTAAAAGTATTTATAACTATTGTAACTTTATTATTATAATTTCCAGGTATTTTCGTTTATAATAACAATAATGATGATAGTAGTAGCTGCGAGCATCGCGCCAATACAAGAGCAGGCGTTTGAGGAGAAAGATTTGGAGGCGGAGGCGGCCATGACAGGACTATACGTGATGTCTATTATACTTGTGCTCATGTTTTTAGCGAAGTTCTGCTTCGATGTGTTATTCGTTTATGGAGTTGTTGTGGTAAGCAAATTGTAATTAAAGTCATATATTTAAATAAGTATATAACAGTTTTGAATGCTAAATAGACATTTTTAAAATTTTAGAACTAAATGCCAATTTTTTTAATAAGCAATTTGCTCTTTTAATCATTTTAACCAGTCTAAAGCATTATCGTTTCGAACCCTAAGTTAATTTGATGATAGAGGTTCTATTACGAATATTTGCGATATAAATTTTCGTAAACATCATGGATAATATTTGTCAGAATTAGTATGGCATTTTTGGTGTACTTTATGGCCGATAGGGGCGCTGTACAAATCTTATACAAATGTCAGTGAAGTTACAAATACTTTTTCGCAAAACCTATTGATTAGTATTTATGAAATAAATTTACTAATTTGAATTCTATTTCTAATTAAAATAAAGTGTATAATTCTTTGTTATATTAGGAAAGTGCGAAGATAGTACGCAGTTATTTCTTCATGTGGTCGGTGTTCTTCTTCTTGTCTATATTTACGTTTTTCCTGAACGCACCGCATTATGACGTCGGCACCATCTGTCTTGAGGTCTTCTATATTTGTAAGTATTTTGTTATCTGTGGTACTATTACTAAAGTAACTAGACTATACTTATTATACTTTGACGTCTCTACATACAACGCTGGCTCTATTGCCACTTTCATTAATTTTTTTTCGATGACCTAAAGGTCTATGCTACCAGGTCATAAAATTAAAAAAAAATGTTATAAATTTGAGGTGTATTTTTTCTCTTGTATCTTTCTGGTAATAAGCGTTTTTTCTTCCTTCGTCTTTCAATTGTTGGCACGAACTTTGCAATACCATGACCATACAAATGACACGCGTCAAGTAATTCCGAGTTTCGTTTGATTAGAGTGAGGGCTTTGTCATTTTTACGTTCCGAGGTTTTGAAATTAGAAAGGATGGAATGAAAAATTGAGGGACGGGTCGAAAAGAAAAAGGAGATAGCCAGTAACTTGAAAGAAATCAACTCGGCGAAAATTGTAGCGTAAAATTTTAGTTTTTACCTATATTTAAGGTTTATTAAAATAAAATAGCTTTAGTATAAAATATAAAAGGTTTAATTATAACTAACTTAATGTCTATATGTCTAATATCATCATCATCAGTTCACTATACGTCCCCACCGAGGGGCTCGGAGCTTACCCTAAGTTAAGGGTGATTAGGCCATAGTCAACCACGCTGTACAAGTGCGGGTTGGTTGACTTCACACATATCTTTGAATTACTTCTCAGATATGTGCACGTTGCATCACGATCTTTTCCTTCACCGTAAGAACGTCGGATAAATGTACATATGTAAATCGGAAATCGAAAAACACATTGGTACATGGCGGGATTCGAACCCAGGACCTGCAGATTGCAAGTCAAGTGCTTGACCACTGAGCCACCGAAGCTTTCTAATATAAAATAAAATAACCTACAATTGTTTAAAGCTATCTTAAAATTAAAACAAAGTATTTTTAAAGACTACTACATTTCAACTTAAATTCAAACACAATTGAGTGACAATCTTTTAAACATAATTAGCATCATATTGGAGTACTACTAAAAAAACTTAAATGCTATACAATACTTATTTAACAGTATTTTTTTTTATTTCAGGTTTGAACGTCTACGCGATTCTATTAAGCCACAGTTTCTATAAGCAGTTGAATAGCAGGGAAGAAGTTTAAAACATTTTTAACTTTAAAAATTGCTTCTAAAAGATGTCATCGTTAATATTATAATATGTTTATATACAATTAATAGAGTTGGAATGTCTGTATGTTAATGCAAAAAATATATATTTCGTGAATAGGAAGTATTTGCGATGCTTATGATGAAAAAAAAAATTTTTGTCTGTCCACAAGGCGGCGCTTTTTACGTAATTTCCGTAATGGCGGGCCCGAACAAAAATTTTTGAGGTTATTTGACAGACGCCGTATCATAACTGTGATGGGAAAAATTACCAAGGATATTATTTAATAATATTACTTTAAATGTTACATTAAAATAGCGAAATGTATACATTTTTTGTATCCGTCCTCACAAATTTATGTCATAATATTTAAATCGTAAGTTATTTTATTTATTACGTAATGTTTCCTTTTTGCAATGTAAAAAAAACGTATAAGTTTTGTTAAAAAGTTGTTAAATATGTTAAATATGTATTAAATAAATGTTTTAATAAAATTAAAATACATTATTTTAAGTTATTTGAATAAGAGTTGACATAGTTTATTAAAATTTAATCTTCAAGTATATTTGAAAACTATTTTGTTATCGTAAAATTCTGATCGGAAAATAAACTAAACGAGTTAACTTTAATCTATTTGGGATAGAAGTTGCCGTTAAAATCTTATATATAAAATTTTCGTGTCACAATGTTAGTTACCATACTCCTCGGAAAAGACGACCGATTTTTATGAAATTTTATAAGCATATTCTGTAGGTTTAAGAATCGGCTACTATCTATTTCCCGCGTGGACGGAGTCGTGGGGACAGCTAGTATATTATAATAATTAAAAACAATCAACATTGTTGATAAAAAAGTAACAAGGCAAAGTTAATAAACTTTAACAAACTGACAATAGGTTAAAGGTGATGTTCTGAAACTGTCATTAAACAAAGAGTAAAAATAACTACTCTACAATCAGAAGTGCGTCGTCCATTTTGTCTTCCAAATCGAAACTGAAATCTCCTTTTTGTATGAGACCGTACACAGAGTACACTACAGTCAACCAGTAAAAGTAGAAAGCTGAAAAAATAAAACAAAAAATCTTTAGTAAAAAAATTCTAAACAACTTTTTATTACACTACTATTAGGAAGAAAATCCGACACTGTACCGGTGTATCGGCGCAACACTAGCCTTATTAAAATGTCAACATTTACTCTCCTCACTAATCAATCTGACACTTGACTCGGTAAAGAAAAGCGCGCCATTTTCTCTAATGATTCCAACTAATAATATCTAAAACTACATAGAAAGTTTAGCCAAATATAATGCTATCCAAACTTTATAGTTGCTCGCAATTTCGCTAGCCGTGTCAATTTTTAGCAACGTAGATACGTAAGGCGGACATTACCTACATATGTAGTAAATCAACGTGCGCAAGAAAAGCATCGCAGCAAACCAGCCGCCTTAAATCCGAAACCTTTGCATATCGTCAGTTTTTACTACTCTTGACACTTTAATGAGACGTCAATCTAGTTTAAATTGACTTCTAACATGTCCTAACCTATTACAAAGCGTCACTTTCGATAGAATCTTAGGATACTGCCATTTGCTATATTAAATAAAAGCTTTAGTACTTTTTTAGGAATAAATATTGTAAGAGAGCAACAGTGGTAGAGCCCGCTTTAACATCTTTGCACGAATTGTCCCGGCTCGCCCGGTGAAATACCACGACCACACAGAAGACAGGTGTCAAGTGGAAGCAATACCGCGTTTCGTCTGATGAATGTGCGTCCCGGAGGCCTTACTTAGTCCTCTTTCCCTTTCCACCCTTTTCTTTCTTAATAAGGAAAGGATGGGAAGTGGAAGTGGACTTTCCGGATGAGAGGATGCATGGGAAGGGAAAATATTTTCTTTCTGTGCATCCTCTTCTCCGTCGATTAAAGGTAGGCAACGCATATGCAATTACGTATGTCTATGGGCAACGGTCAATTCGCTATTTCAGCGATTTCAAGTGGCCGCTAGCTCGTTTGACACCTTATAATATAAAAAAAAATATTGTAAGAACAACTCACCAGTTATAAGGAAAGATGTCAACGATATGTACCAATAGTTATTTATCAAGAATAACAAAGATGCGAGCATCATCAACATAGTAATTAAAACACCAAAGGCGAAATAAGTCAGCACCAAACCAGGATAATACTGAAATTGACAATATATTTCATGTTACTTAAATTAATACATGTTTGTCTTCTTTTAATTACCGGAGACTACTCAGAGAAGGTTTGTAAAAGGACTGAAATTAGATCTAGGACACATCAGATGGTTTTTTTTCCACTTCACGTGTGTTATATGGTCGTGTTTCTAATGCGTACCATATTATTATTACAACTTTAATTGTTCTGAAAGCGCGTTAGTGGCTCAGAGGTTTAAGCATTTGACTTGCAATCTGCAGGTCCTAGGTTCGAATCCACCCATGTACCAATGTGTTATTTGGTGTGATTTTCGATTTACATATGTACATTTATCCGACGTTCTTACGGTAAAAGAAAACATTGTGATGCAACCTGCATATATCTGAGAAGAAATACATAGATATGTGTGAAGTGAACCCGCACTTGGCCAGCGTGGTTTTGACTATGGCCTTAGTCACCCTTAACAAAGGGTAGGCTCCGAGCCCCTCGGTGGGGACGTATAGTGAGCTGATGATAAATTGTTCTGTAAGATAATTTTACCTTAAATATTCCGATGATTAGAAGAATACTAAATAATGCAGCAATCATTGAGACAATTAGAACAGATACTAGTATTGCATTTATTGAAAAAACTTTAAACTTCATTGAAGCTATGGTCATTTCATTCCCTTCTTCTATCCCGAGTATAATACTTGATGTTATTACCAACACTGAGAATATTATCTGGAAAAAAAACTGACTATCGCATTTATCGAATGTTTTCGAGACCAAAATCCCCGTAAAAACCATATTTTTATCTCTGTTTTATCAAATATAAGACATAGATGACGATATGTTTCATACAGTAATTTTGGTCTTAAAAAACAACGGTTATATTCGTATAAAAGTTACTAAAGGAGTAACTTGAATTAGATTTAGTTGGACAAATAAACAAAAAAAGGATTCCAAATCCTATCTCTGACAAAACTTATTTTGTAAAACCTTTTTGTACATTACTATTAACTGTCATTGTTAATTTTTAACGATTTAATTGTTATGTTTGCGTTCGAAAAAACGTAATTTAGTAATAGTTAAAACGTTAATATTTAACAAACAACTTACAAGACTGCCAATCCCAAAAGCGACGACACCAAATTTGATAGGTACACAAAAGCAACATTTCATTGAGGTGTGCATCGTTCTGATTTCACAATTTCGTTGTTAACACTGTAAGGAATTAATTATAATATAATTTATTATATATATATAAAAATACATTTGTCTGTATTTTTTCAACAAAAACTGTTACCGTTGTTTTGTGGTAAAACTTTCTAAAAGATATTCCTTTCTGTCCAAAGGTTTTTAGTCTATTTTTTAAATTGAATTTAATGTTTTGTTACTTTTTGTTATTTAGATATTTCATTTAAGTTTCGTTTAATTAGTATTTGAAAATAATTCCATGCGACTATAAGTATCGGTAATACATAACTCAGTTCATATTTTTCCTCAAGCGATAAGCTCTATGTTAATTGGTAGTCATAAATATAATAAATACATAAATTATTTAATTAACTAGTAACTTGTGGTCAAATAAAAATCTGAAATAATAACAAAAACAAATTAGGCAATGTACCGTTATTTTTACTATTTTTATATCATAAGGTGGCAAACGAGCGAGCGGCCACCTGAAATCGCTGAAATAGCGAAGTGGCCGTTGCCCATAGACATACGCAATTACATATGCGTTGCCTACCTTTAATCGACGGAGGAGAGGATGCACAGAAAGAAAATATTTTCCCTTTCCATGCATCCTCTCATCCGGAAAGTCCATTTTCACTTCTCATCCTTGCCTTATAAAGAAAAGGGTGGGAAGGGAAAGAGGACTAAATTAGGCCTCCGGGACGCACACTCATCAGACTGCTCGCGGAATTGCTTCCACTTGACGTCTGTCTTCTGTGTGGTCGTGGTATTTCACCGGGCGAGCCGGGCCGATTCGTGCGAAGATGTTAAAGCGGGCTCTACCACTGTTGGAGGTACCATATTATAAGGATTACTTTTAGTGTATATTAGTTATTTGTAAGGATTGCATTACTAGATTCAACAGATAAATTTTACTAGTTTTGTTTATTTAAAGTTTTGGTGTTGTTTTTTATTGCCTTTCATTTAAATACGTTTTTAATTTGCTTTTGTTAAATGAGTAAATAAAATAATTTATCACTACTAACCGAATGTTTTCTTCTAACACCCGATTAAATATAATATATTGTTTTTTTAACTTTATAACACGTTCTATATTAAAGCGTCACAGGAAACTGAACTACACACGAATGTCGTCACAATAAATGTAAGTTAAGAACCAACCATAAACAATATAACTCTAGAGTACCTATGACAGGGAGGTAATCAACTCAATGTTCTCATAATTGAGTTGTTACGAGTTAAATCAATATTTTTAATACCAAATAGGATGATACCGTTTTAAAGTTAAACCAGACTGTAATTATTTACGTAGAAAAACTACTAATTTAAGTTATATGGACGTTTAAAGCACATAAAAACTTAATAGTTTTTTTTGCAAATAATATCTTAAGGCTTATAATGAGATAGTCTTCATAACATCACATACGGATATCACGGAGCTGTGGAATTTGTAAGATATAGCTGTTGCCCGCTGCGTCCGCGCAGAATTAAAAAAAAACTTAATTAGTAGCCTATGTGTTCTTTCAGACAATTCTACATCTAAGTCAAATTACAGCGAGACCCATGCAGTCTAAAGATACCTTCAAACAAACATCCAACCATCCAAACTTTCACATTTGTAATATTAGTAAGATGGGACCAACCCCTGACAAAATAATCAAGATTAATTAGGATTAGTTGAACTGAGTACGTCCCTGTGTCAAAAACTTTAAGCTTTCACAGTTCAATTCTTATCGCACTTACTGAGAAATCTTTTGAAGTGGCGAATGTTTGGGCTTGAGACGTATTTTGGTACTTAAGTATTATAATATTCAAACTTTATGACGCCTTGTGTGTTAGATGCCAAATGTCTAGATTTCATTTGACTCTAACCCCTTTAAATACAGACGAAAGTTGAATGTAGGCGACTATTACGATTTTTCAATTTTTTTCTGACAATGTTTAGAGGAAAGAGTGTATAAAGCATCCCTTTAAGTCAACTAAAAGGTCTCGTGAGATGCTGCGAGCCATTAAATTTGGATGTCACTATACAAGAAGGTAAGAATTCCGTTTAACTTTTCCGTTACAATGAATCAAGTGTTGGCTTGTTTAAACAATAGTTCAATTGTTATTATCATCATCATCAGCTCACTATACGTCCCCACCGAGGGGCTCGGAGCCTACCCTAAGTTAAGGGTGATTAGGCCATAGTCAACCACGCTGGCCAAGTGCGGGTTGGTTGACTTCACACATATCTTTGAATTTCTTCTCAGATATGTGCAGGTTGCATCAGGATGTTTTCCTTCACCGTAAGAACGTCGGATAAATGTACATATGTAAATCACAAATCGAAAAACACATTGGTACATGGCGGGATTCGAACCCAGGACCTGCAGATTGCAAGTCAAGTGCTTGGCCACTGAGCCACCGACGCTCTTGTTATTATAATTCTTACTTATTATTAGCGAGAGTGAAAGGGACAGTGATATATTTCTCGCTTAACCAGATTCTACTGTATCCAGCTTTTGCCCGAGACTCCGTTCGCGCGGAATTAAAAAACTCAATCTTGTCTATGCCAAATTTCATCGACATTCCTTGAGCCGTTCTGGAGACACCTTTTTTACAGAGGGGGAATACTTTATGTATACTCCGCGCCCCGGGGACGCAGTAGTTATGTGGCATTCTCTTCCGGCATACCCACTAAACCCCTCTGTTCCTTTTACGCGTCATGGCGAGACCTTGGGCACGATTGCGCTTTCGTCTGCGACTTTGCGTGCGTTCTGGAGACACCTTCTGACAAACATCCATCCGTCTAAACTTTCGCATTTATAATATTGTTAAGATTAGTAAGAAGTAAGATATACTTGAACAAAACATATAATCCCTTAAAATATCAATATTATGGTATCCGGTTCTAGCAGTGGAATTTTGTTTACATATGTAACTATGTATATTAAAATATATGAAGTTTAAATCGATTATTATTAACTTATCTCGATTAATTAATCATAAAAGATTTAGAAATAGATTGTATAAAAAATACAAATCCGTTTTAAATTACGTAAAATTATCGAATATAAACTTTATCATCGCGCAAAACATTATTGTCAATCTGTTTGTCTTATGATATAAAAGCTAATGACCTCAAGTGTAAGACCAGTTCCAGTGTTGCCATTATAAAAAAAATATCCACAATTTTAAGACAATCTAGCTAATCAAGTTCCAGAATATTTATATGACGAAAACTAGATGTTCACCGCAACTCCGTTTGTACGGAATTAAAAAAACGAAATAAGTAGCCTGTGTTCCGGAGATATCTTCAAACAAACTTCCATCCATCTAAACATTCGCATTTATAATATAAGTAAGATTCCATTCAGGCGAAGACGCGGGCAACATGTAGTTAAAAAATAATTTTAACTTCCTCTCAAATCTTGAAATGTGTTCAATGAAAGTTGCCAGTATGCCTTTATTTAATAAAGTGTATAAAAATCTTTAATTCAACTCATAAAAAAAGATATAATACTATTTATTTGTTTTGATTTATTAGTACATCGAGGAGAATAGTGATTAGATTATGGCAACATTAACCAGGTAATTTTAATCTAAATGATTCAACACAACGACAACATCACAGCTATATTCAATTCAGTGAGCACAGGCCACAACGAACGTTACGATATTACAAATTTGTCGCGATTTAAAATTCGACCAATGGTCATTGACCGAAACGCAACACCACTAAATTGTTTTAGTTGATTTTTGACAAGCAAAAGTGTTTTTTAACGTTAACGTTTAGATTCAAATTGTGTCGGTTTTTTATATTATTATTATTATTATTATTATTGAAATACTTCGGTAAGTACGAAGCTAATTATAATTTATTTATTTGTAAATTTATGCTTTTTCCAGACGTTGTTTGTGATATTATTCGTTAATGTAAATATTTATTAATTTATGTAAAATGTCTTTTGGTTTATTAAGTTGACGCGCAATTAATATCAGCACATAATAACGGCCTTATTTAATTCATTTTAATGATAATTATAATGATTGTCTTTCCTAAGTGTGGAATATTTTTAAGAATATGAATTAAATTTAACGGTTTATTTTTCGGTTGACTTTGTTGAGGTATGATAACATTTAAAACTATAGTAAAATATGTATTTTTTTTAATTTTAAATTAAAATTTAATATAAATATTTCCTTTGGATAAATCGCAATATTTTTTATTCGACTAATAAAGTATTTTTTTAGCCGTATTGATAGAAAACTTTGGGTTTCTACTGGGGTAACAAATAATGTTTTTTTTAAATAGAAAGAGACGCAAGACAATGTTTTTGTTATAAAATGCATGCGTGTAATATCCGACCCATTGTGACCTTTAGCCAAAACGGATGGATTATTAAGTGGGAAGGTCATTCGAAGTAAACTAAGCGTAAGTTTCCATTATCGAAATACAAGTTTAAAAACATGTTAACTTTACATTATCTTTGGTTAACAAAGATAACTATGTTCTTAATGTTTGTGGAGAATTGAAGTCGGGTTTTGTTGTTTATTAAATAGCGTTTCTATTATCAAATGTCATTGAAAGATCATTTCACTTGTTAAGTCGGTGATTGACCGTGATATGCAATCAACACTTCACAGCTCAATTACGATCTTCCGCTCACGAAATTGAAACAGATTGGCAATAGACAAAATAATAACACGGTAATATAAACTAACTACCAAAACGGCTACTCACGTATCAATCTTGGGTCGGCAACGACAAGTTTTGAGAGCCTATCGGGGCCCTTCTTCAGGGCAGATAGGGACGTAAAATAGTCACTAAAGGGACTTAGAGTTATCAAGAGAGCACCAAAATATTCGACGAGATTATATAAAATCTTTAAATATGTGGCAGTAAGTTTGAAATCCGCCTTTAAAATTTTAAAAGACGATTGTCTTATTTTTGTACTAAGAGCCCCTTAACTAGTCATAAAGTGACACATTAAAAAATGTTTTTTATGTTTCTTTTTTTGTTAGTCGGGAATCCAGTGTTAATTGCGTACCTGTAAGTCTTTTGCTGTTATTATTTTTTTATTTAAATAGCGTTATCTTAAAGCTTGTACGCATACAGGCCCTATTTGAAATGTCTAAGGCAATGTAGTAAACCGTTATCTAACGGTATTTGCTAGCATATCCAATGTTAACTGCATTCTATGTTTTCTTCCTGAATATAAATATTTATGCAAAAGTTTTACATTGAATTTCCACTGTCTAAACACATGTATAAAACATATTGTTTCTATTTTATATCAATCTGCAATCTCAAATACGTTGCGTCCCTTTTCGGGCGCACAAACGGCTATTTCCCAATCTTTGCGCCTCCTCCCCAACCAAATCCACTTCCCCTTCATATCCTTTCCTTGTACGAAAAAGGTGGGAAGGAAAAAAGTACTAAAACCATGGCTCCGCACGTACACAATATAAGCAATTATGTAAATAAGTACACATATTAAAGCAAATACTAGTCAAACAAGATTGAAGATCAAGGTCGATGTTGCATTTACTTTTTTTTACATCGCACAAAAAATTTATCATTCAGATATTTATTTTGGAAGATAGGCCAAGATTCCACTAATCGACTAGCTGTACTCGATTGCTATCTGTGTTAATCGCGGTAGCGCCAGTGGAAATGGTACTATATTGATTATAGTTGCGACTGATTTTTCTATCTTACATAAATGTGAATGTTTGGATGGATGTTAGAAGGTATCTCCAGAACGGCTCAACGGATCTCGGTGAAATTTGGCATACAGATAAACAAAGTCTGGAACACATAGGCATATTTTATTTTTGTATAAAATTGTTTTTCTTTTTCGCAAAACTTACCTTTTTCTCAGTAAATAATGTTACTACTTTACAGATAGTTTTGAGGTTAGTAAATATAATGGTTAACTAAGTCAAATAATACACCAAAGTTATTTGATTATTGTTTTATTTGATGCGTATTTTTATAAAATTTGATAACAATCAGGTAGGACTTTGCTATATATTTACGAATACAAAATATGTAGATAAAATAAAAACAGCTGCCAAAGCAAAACGAACCAATCTGGCGCGTTAAAAAACAAACAGCCAAGAATTTGTTACGTATATTTACGTAATAAAAAAAAACAATGTAACAATAAAAAAGAGGTCACTAAGTAATCTAATTATGAAAAATTATATTTAATCCGTGCAGTAAATTAAAAAAAAAACTACTGATAATTTTTTACATGAAAAATAGTTTTGTATCCTTTTTTATATAATCTGTTTCAAATTTCAAGGTCATCTGTTCGCGTTTATTTTGCAATAGGACTAGGGGTTATTAAAACACAGTGGAAATTCTCTTTTAACACTTTTTCTTAACAAAAAAATATAAAAATGTCAAAACAATCTTATTTTTGTAGAGACAAGACTATAAAATATTGCTTTATTACTTGGCATTTTATTTATGATAACATTACTGAAAAAAAAAAATAGTCAAAATAAAAACTATTAGTGAGAAATCAACGATTAATGATTTTGCAGAAAAAAAATGTATAAATTTTATTTAATATAATTAAAATTTACAAAGTCAATAATCTTACATAAAATGTATTTTACAACCTAATTATGTCTATAAAATTAAATGCGTATATTATTAATAATAAATATTATTTCACCTTATTTTTAATCATAAAATCTTTACTTATTTTATTAAAGGAGTATTTATTAAAAAAAATATATAAATAACATATAACTAGTAACTATTATGTTGTTCTACACTTTTTTTTAATTGTAAAAGCTTAACTTGTGCCATTTCTTCTTCTATTAATGCAGTTCTTTGTTTTATTTGTTCTGTTTCTAGCTGTAAATTAAAAATATTTACATAAATACCTAAATTTGTCAAACATTAGTTGAATCGGGATAAACGAGAAGACGGGTTTAAAACGTTTCGCACTCTTGCTCATCTAGATTCGATGGTAATTGTTTTATGTTATTTCATATAACCATAGAAATTTGAAAAGAATTTTTTTTGGGTATACTTTACAATTTTTTTTTATTAATTTAAGATGCCAAAATTAATAAAATACACAAAATGATGGTCTTACGACTTTCGAGAATTAACGTTCTACAAAAAACCCAATGACACTCAAAGATAGAATACCAATTGAATAACACCTCAATCAAAATCATCATACAAACACACACATGTAACAGATAAAAAACATTACCATCCTGCGTCAGTTAGGTAATAAAACAATTTAAATGCAAAAACAAATACTGAATATAATGATTACTTACCTGTACTTTTAATAATTCCAGTTCCAATTTCTTCTTACGTTCTAAATATCTTACTCTTAGTATACTTTCTCTTCGCATGTAGTCCAACGGTCTGTAACCTTGATTGACATAAGGTGTCCGAGAATATCCTTTATCAATTTGATCTGAAATATAAGGAAAATATCTATCTATGAACTCAATCAAACTTTGTAATCTTCTGAGTAACGAGAATATTTGTGCTTTAAAAAAGTAAAAAAAGAATTGATTAATTTTTAAAAACTTTTTGATCCCGCTACATGCTAGATTCAGCTAGTTCAAGCTGTCGCCAGCTACTCCGTTCGCTTGGAATTAAAAAAAACATAATTTGCCTATGTTTTTTTTCCAGACTATGTTCTATATGTATGCCAAATTTCATCAACATCCGTTCAGCCGTTCCAGAGATACCTTCAAACATTCATCCATCCATCCAAACATTTGCATTTATAATATTAGTAAGTAAGACAAAGTTAATTAAAATGTACTTGATATTTTGTACCATTACAATCTTGAGATGGTCCAGCAATGTCTGCATCTTCTCTTTGTGTACTTGTGTCATTTTCAATTGGTTCCGGTTCCATGCATACCTCAACTTCTAAAAAAGGCGACACTATTTATTATTTTAAAAAAAACAATAAAAATTTATTAACTGTACCCCTGTGTTACTCAGGGGAAGAATCATCAGCTCACTAAACATCCCCACTGAGGGGCTCGGAGCCTACCAAAGTTAGGGATGTCTAGGTCATTATCAACCACACTGGCTAAGTGCGGGTTGACTTCACTCATAGCTTTGAATTTCTTTTCAAATTATATACAATGTTTTCCTTCACTATAAGAATGTGAGATACAAATACATATAAAAATACATACTTATAGGGTCCATTACACGTGGAGGGTCTGGTTCTGGGCTATTTGGTTCTACTGAGTCTAATATTGCACTGTCGCTATCAAAATCATTCTCTAGTTCAGGTAACATCATGGAAGAGTCCTAGGAAATTAAAGATATATTATTATTTTGGTTAGATAAGACGTAGGTGTCTTTTTCTTAAGAGAAGAAGAAACTACCCTCATGATAACTTAGTAAAGTTGAACCTGGATAAGAAAGTCTGAGGGATCATAGTACTTTTCTTGCTTATAGAGGTTTCTTGCTTATCCAGGTTTGACTGTATAAATCAATTATCTTAAATGTTACCTCATCACTCAGATTTAATAAAGCTTCATGTTGTAATGGTGAAGCAGGATGGCCTCCAGTTTGAAGTAAATTGGCTCGTTCTTTGCGCGTAAATGCCTTCATATTCTCCCATGCCCTTTTTAATGTAAGGGTTTCGCGCTGCAGTTAACAAAGTGAAGATATATGTAAGAAAATCAATTATACAAGTGCATATAATTGTGAGTTTCCACTGCAAAAACATTGGTCAAAAACAATTATGTCATTCTTCATGAAAATAGTCAGAGAATGTGTTTTGTATGATGTTTCTGGAGTGAAAACGCGTAGTTACAGAATATAATACATACAAACCTTATGTACATTGGCATTGCTGTTAAATTCTTGTGTGATTAAATTCCAAGCCGCCTGTTTTTTGCTAACTGTTTTAGCATCGGTAAATTTTGTTTGAACAATTGGACGTCTCTTTACCAAATGTGCCAATAAGGCTTTTTCGTCGGCAGTAAAATTAGGTACTCGTTTCCGCGCTTTTGTTTGTTGTTGTTGATCCTGCATTGTAACTTGACCGGCGTCCTAAACCGAAATCTTTAATGAAATGAATGATTACTCAAACAACTACATACAACTATATCGTAATTACCATTGTAAACATTACAAAGTATAAGAATTACATATAATTTTGCATTAATGCCTAACTTATCAACTTTACCGGCACCGATAAAAACAATATCTCTATCGCATTCAAAACGAACGCCTAAACTTTTTTAACTTGTAAACATACAAACGTCACTTTCCAAATCCAAACATGGCGGCCATCACACTAACACCTCTCGTTCGGAAATGTAATTTTGTGGGTAATAAAAAATGTTATATAAATGTGAAACAATATGTCGAATGAGAAAGTGTGGTTTTGTCATTGTTTTTATAAAACTACACCTTAACATTTTAGACGAAACTGTAAAATTGGAATAAAAATTGTTATTTAAGTTTTACAGCAAAGCACACTAGCGCCACCGCGGAACAGCAGGAAGACTTATACGAGCAGGAATAATCAACCAGGAGATTACTCATTTACAATAATTTATTGTTTACTAAGCGGTCCGTCGAAATCTTTGCCGCAATAAAGATAAATAACATGTATAAATATAACTACTTTATCTGTATCTTTTATCAAAGAGCATCTAGAAGCTTGACCTAAATGTATCAAACTTTAATCTTACTTCTTATTAATATTATAAATGCGAATGTTTAGATAGATGGATGGACGTTTGTTTGAAGATATCTTTAGAACGGCTGAACAGATCACGATGAAATTTGGCATACATAGAGAATAGTCTAGTAAAACACATAGGCTACTAATTATTTTTTTAAAATATTTTTACTGACAAAGTTGCGGGCAACGGCTTGTATATATATTATCAAGTTGAATATAGATATTATATCTGATTCGACAGTGTTTTTCAGCCAGTCTATATAATGTTTACTCCGCGCAATTTACAACGACCTTGTGCCGTGTAATTATTTCTAAGTAAATTATAATCTGTGTACTTCAAATTATTTTACATTTACCTCCTGTTTTAACTGATGGTTTGTTAATTACAATTATTTGTTGATTAAATAAGATCTTTAAAAACATAAACATAGAGTTGGTATTCACAAATACAAGTTGTTACGCTTTATAATTATCTGCTATTGTGTTGACGAGACATTATATTATTTTACTTCATTATTGTTTTTAATAGATTGGCGTTATATCAAATTTTTATTTATTGTTCAAGTTATTAACTGAGTAGCCGTGGGTTTCTTAGACCGAAATCCCTGCATAAAACATATCATCATCCTAGTAATTTGCTAAAAACTTGAAAAAAAAGAGAATTTTGTTCTCAGAAACCCACGGTTACATATTTTATTTATTTTTAAGGTACTGAAAACATACCGAAGCGATGGATAAAATTTATTTCTTTGTAAATGGCCAGCGATATACATCCAGTAAGTATTTAATTTCAAATTCGGAACATAAAAAAATAACCATAACAATTTAAATATCGAATCTTTACAAAATTTTTATCTTAGTATGTCAGTGGAGCCTTACTGTAGATTTTTTCTCTAACGGTTTTACTATTTCAGATGGATCGGATGTAGACGAATCGACGTCATTGAATGATTATCTCCGAAATACCCTGGGTCTGTTCGGTACTAAGTCGATGTGCAACGAAGGAGGATGTGGTGCTTGCGTTGTCTCCGTAGCACAGTACAACCCTGTTACTAAAGCGAAGGACGTGTTTGCTGTTAACTCTGTAAGTGCTTCAGAAAACTGCTTGTAAATAGGACATTTTACTGTACACAGTGTGTTAAAGAGTCGAACCTTGCTCTGTTTATATAGATAAATTAAAAAAATCTAATCTAAAAAACATTGACTCTAAATCGGGTTGTCTGCGTACTACGTTTCTGAATATTAACTCGCCCTGTCATAACCTGACACGCTTAAGTGCACTAAAAACGCGGCTCTATATGGATCATTCAAAGTGTAGTACAATTATTAAACTGATATAAAAACGGCTAAACACTCACGATAGGGGGCCCTTCCGCGACGGGCCGCGTCCGCGAAATAATACCAGTACCACTCATCCTGATGAAGGGCACTCTATGGGCTCGAAACTAGTCGGTGCCGCCACCGGACGAATAAACGTGAGTGTTTAGCCATTTTTATATCCGTTTATTATAATGTCTCGCGAAAGTTTGAATAATTTGTAGTACAATTACTTAGAAGTGCAAGCTTCCTCCTTTATGTTTAACTGTTACGCTCGATTTAACCCCAAAATTCCCGCTTAGCCTCACCTACTAGAGAAATGCCATATCAAACTACGCAAATGTCACAATCCTTAACCACAGATTATGCAATAGCCAACAGTAATCTTATATAAAAAATTCTCGTGTCACAATTTTCGTTCCCATACACCTCCGAAACGGCTTGACCGATTTTCATGAAATTTTGTGAGCATATTGAGTAGGTCTGAAAATCGGCCAACATCTATTTTTAATCCCGCGCAGACAGAGTCGCGGGCGACAGCTAGTATTATATAAGCCAGTCTTCATAACGAATGTACCAAATAAAACGTTAAACATAACTATAAAGTGTTGATGATTTAGAGTAGCCATTTTTATCATAGGCATTTATTAATTTACAGTGTTTAGTACACATCTTATCATGTCATACGTGGGAAATAACAACAATAGAAGGATTGGGGAACCAGAGAGTTGGTTACCACCCTCTTCAGAGCAGGCTGGCGATGTTCAATGGCACACAATGCGGGTACTGCACGCCTGGCTTAATAATGAATATGTACAGGTAAGGGATTAGTCTTAATAATATTATAAATGCGAATGTTTAGATGGATGGATGTTTGAAATTATCTCCAGAAAGGCTTAACGGATCTCGATGTAATTTGACATACATAGACACAGTTTAGAAGAACACGTAGGCTGATAACTATTTTTTTTTTAATTCCGTGTGAACGGAATCGGATGACAGCCTGTTTGTCATAGATTAAAAAAAATATAGGACCTTTTTACATGGTGCATATTCTATTGTTATCTCTGTTTTGTCAAAGATAAAGACAAGGATGACGATATTGTTCAGAGATTCTGGTCGGGAACGAATTGTTATTATTTCCTATAGTAAACAATAAATCTTCTTTCAGTTTATACAAGAGTTCAAGTAAAAAGTTGACAACACAAGAAATAGAACGTTCATTCGGTAGCAATATTTGTCGATGTACAGGATACAGACCTATTCTGGACTCGTTTAAAAGTTTCGCAAACGATACAGATCCCCAAATACAAGTGAGTATTAGTGTTAATTGTAACTTACAAAAATATAGCTATCCCTCTCTTTCTATTTGGAGTAAAACAGAGATAGCATGATATAGTCTCAGTAATGCGTCTCAGGATCTCAATATCATTCAACACATCAAAAATACCAACTCTATTGAGTTATTAATGTTTATTGTTTTTTTTTCTAGGACTTGGAAGATCTAGATCAAATGAAATGCTTAAAACCATATCAAAATGACTGCAATTTATTAGACGAGGAGTGGTGTGTTATTGAGAAAACAAAGAAATTACAACTGGAAGGTTCAAAACCTAATCGTTGGTACAAAGCGTTTACACTGCAAGATGTGTTTAAGGTAACTTCGAATAACATTCACACTTCTTACTAATATTATAAATGCGAATGTTTAGATGGATGGATGTTTGATTAAAGATATTTCAAGAACGGCTGCATGGATCGCGCTAAAATTTGACGTATATGTACGCTACCATAATTATGTCTATAGATAAAAAAGTCGTGTTAGTTACACTATTTACAACTCAAGAACGGCTTTACCGATATGATTGAAAATTGGTGAGGAGGTAGCTTAGAGCCAGGAGACGGACATGGGATACTATTAATTCATTTTTTTTAAATATTTTTTTTTCGAATTTATGCCTGGAAGAGCTGCTTTTTATTTAATTTTTTTATATATTCACGCGGACGGACTCGCGGGCGACAGCTAGTATATTATAAAAATGTACATAATGTACATTACATCTGATTATTATTCTCATACTCACAAGAAGTTTTTGTTGAATAAAACGCTAGCGAATATATTCAATTTTATCAATTAATTTTATACCACAAAAACAACTTTATTATAGCTTAATTTCATTAAAATTATCTTTTTTTGTTGTTTTCATAATTAGATTTTAGCTAAGGAAGGAGTTGACAGCTACCGTCTTGTCGCTGGCAACACTGGTAAAGGTAAGTCAGCCAAAAGCAAATAAAATTTTATATTTGTTTTTTTTTTAACAGTATATTTTGTAGAAATAAAAAATTCTAATTAAACACCAATGTTTAAGAATAGTTTCGTAGTACCTTATTGTTAATATTTTTTTTAGGAGTGTATCCAATTAAGGAAGAGCCCCGAGTCCATATAGATATATCGTCCATTGAGGGTCTAAAAGATGCAACGAGGTCCGTGAACCTTGTTCTCGGAGGAGGGATGTCGTTAACAGAAATGATGCGAGTTTTTAAAGTTCACGCTAAATATAACGAAGACTTTCAATATTTGGAACATTTTTATGAACATTTAGAGTTAGTCGCCCATATACCTGTTAGAAATGTACGTAGGTATTATAAAAAAAATAATAAAAAAATAATGAAACCTTTTTGATACAACTTTTTAACATTTGTAAAAAAAAATTGTCGTTCTTTTTTTGATTTTAGATTGGCACTATTGGTGGTAATTTGGCGCTAAAAAATGCACACAATGAATTTCCATCTGACATATTTTTATTGCTACAAACTGTTGAAGCCATGGTGGCTGTTGGTAATATACATTACGTCATTTAAACTTATGGATATTAATTTATAAGTTTAATAATAGCATCATCAGGTCACTATATCCCCACCGAGGGGCTCGGAGCCTACCCTAAGTTAAGGGTGATTAGGACATAGTCAACCACGCTGGCCAAGTGCGGATTGACTTCACACATATCTTTGAATTTCTTCTCAGATATGTGCAGGTTGCACACGATGTTTTCCTTCACCGTAAGAACGTCGGATAAATGTACATATGTAAATCACAAATCGAAAAACACATTGGTACATGGCGGGATTCGAACCCAGGACAAGGTCAAGTGCTTAACCCCTGAGCCATCGACGCTCTTCTTTTCCAGTTTAATAATATCTTTTAATATTTCAGTCGACAACAATCTTCATAAAACCGATGTATCAATGTCGGACTTCCTCAAACTGGATCTACGGAACAAATTGATAGTTGACGTTAAATTACCACCTCTGTCTTCAAACGATATTATAAGAACATACAAGGTAATAAACACATATTTGAGTTTCATCACTGTTGGAGGCTACATAACGATGTTTGCTTTCACCTTTTATTATATAGAACCTTTTTGTAACTATATTTTTAAGCTTAAAAATTATGACATGTAACCACAGATAATGCCGCGCGCGCAAAATGCTCATGCAATAGTAAACGCGGGCTTTTTATTTCAACTGAGCTCTTCTAACGTGACGTCATGCTGTCTCGTATTCGGCAATATAAGTCCGGATTTCATAAGAGCGAAAGAGACAGAACGTCTTTTAAAAGGACTGGACCTTTATAAAGACGAATCTTTGCAAAAAGCCTTAGCGAAATTGAGCCAAGAAATTGTACCAAAGGAATTTCCAACAGAACCGTCACCGCATTGCAGGAAAGCAATTGCGTTAGGATTATTTTATAAGGTAGGAAATAATTTAATTTCAACTCACAATAATGTAACAGAATTTACGTGAAAAATGCCCAACGACTAAAAAAAAATGTGTACCATCGACAAAGTTCTACTATTTCTTCTTCTAGTGCCTCTTCAGTCTTGAAGGTTGGCCGCTAATTTGGAATATTTGGTTCTGTCAAGTGCAAGGCGAAACAGTTTCTACGCTGACCTAATCCCTGTCCACTCCCTAATATTACGTAGCCACGACTTTTTCCTACGTCCAGCGCGTCTCTTACCTTCAATCTTGCCCATAATTATCAGCTGAAGTAACTTATACCTGTCAAAAGTTCTACAGATAACATAAAAAAAACTTATAAGCGTTAATTAACCCTTAGTAGCCTAGAGTTTCAATTTTGATACCAATCTTTTAAACCGAATGTTCACATTACTATTAGTTTTTTTTATAGGTTGGCTGTACCTATTTTACTGTTGTATAATATTCTTTCCAACAAAATTAAAAAAAAATCATTATTGTTTTATTTTATCAAGCAAACACAGTCATATTAAAAATTAATCACTTTCGTATGTAAATCAGGCTACTAAGGGTTAAGTGAATACTAACAATTACTAAGAAGACATGAAAGAAGAAAATGTGTTTTACTGACCTTACGAAAGAACACGATAATAGAATCTTAAACAGTTTACATATTTAACATTTTTTAGTTGTTTCCAGGCCATTTTATCACAAGCTCCATCTGTAAACCCTCGATTTAAATCAGGAGGCAGTCTACTCAACCGACCTGTCTCCAGTGGTACACAGACTTTTGACACTGACAAATCTATTTGGCCACTAAACCAGCCTGTGCAGAAGTTAGAAGGATTAACACAAGTACGTATTATTATTATTATTATTTATATCAAAAGCTGGCAATCGAGCGAGCGGCCACCTGAAATCGCTGAAATAGCGAAGTGACCGTTGCCCATAGACATACGCAATTGCATATGCGTTGCCTACCTTTAATCAACGGAGGAGAGGATGCACAGAAAGAAAATATCTTCCCTTCCCATGCATCCTCTCATCCGTAAAGTCCACTTCCATTTCCCATCCTTTCCTTATAAAGAAAAGGATGGGAAGGGAAAGAGGACTAAATTAGTCCTCCGTGACGCACACTCATCAGACTGCTCGCGGAATTGCTTCCACTTGACGCCTGTCTTCTGTATGGTTGTGGTATTTCACCGGGCGAGCCGGGACAATTCGTGCGAAGATGTTAAAGCGGGCTCTACCACTGTTTGTTGTAGTTGCTGTTGTCTAACATTATGTAGCTATTTTAGCTATGAATCTTTTTTTGTGTCGAAGGTGAGAGAGGGGGGTGTTGCCGATAGATACGGAACCTTTTTAGACGTTTTTTACTCATAATTTTTATATTTTTGTATTTGGAACTTAATATGTTTTATTCTTCTTTTTTTGTCTCTAGTTATCAGCTTTAATTAGCTTCTAACAGTGCCGATCTTTTCATTTAATTATTCAATTTTATATTTTCATTTTGCCTTTTTATTTTATTATATAAATTCCAAAATGTATCTTAATCCAACCGCTATTTCCATCCTCATATTTTCCGTCGTCTTTAGGGAGGAATCTATATACATTGCCTTTTGAGGGAAAGATAGGCTTATTTAAGAGATGCTTAGTAAAATTACTTAGGTGACCATCTTAATTCGACTGGAGATTAATTCTAGTAGACGGAGATTCAATGCTATGTTAAAAGTAACAAAATATTATTAAATCTTTAAATGAAACATGCAAAATATTCGGTAAATGTCAATAAGCTATTAAGCGTCAATAGCCTAATGGTTAAGGGTACGGATTTCCGATCACGAGGTCGGGGATTCGAATCCCGCCATTCGACTATTGTCGTAAACCATATCCTAGCACAAGCCTAGAGCTTAGTTGGAATGGTAAAAAAATATTAGTAAATTTACAAAAAACATCTGCTAATATTAAAAAAAAGGAGGAACTAAGTTCTCTTAACTCTTGAAAATATTATAAATGCGAATGTTTGGATGGATGTTTGTTAGAAGGTATCTCTAGATCTCGCTGAAATTTGGCATAATAGAACATAGTCTGAAAGAACACATAGGCTATTAAGTTTTTTTTAATTGTACGTGGACGGAGTCAAATACTATTTTGTAGATAAATTACTAAAACAATTCAATGTGGATTACGAAGTTTTGTTCTTCAGTGTTCAGGTGAGGTTCGTTATTCCTGTGACATGAGGTATTCACAGCGCGATGTTCATGTCGCCTTCGTGTTGGCTACAGAAGCTGTTGCTGATATTAAGAATATTAATGCTACTGACGCTCTGGTAAGAATAAACTCAACTCTTTATCCTATTCATCATATCATGATCATAGAATCCTTTAAATCCATACATTTTTCTCTAAGAAACATACATACACCCACGAACATATACATCCACTCGTACATACATAAACACGCACAAATATTTACATGCAATATTAAGCTATTTTAATTATAAATTTCTTTTTTTTTGTAATTCTTAAGTAAGGCAAGCAATTTCACAATGTTACTAACCTTTTACTTAAACTATAGCACTAAGACGAAAGAGTCCTGGCTTCTATAATACGGGTCTAGAAACTAGTTTAGGAACCAGACGTACTATTACTATGTAATTTTATCATAATTTTGTTGCCTAAATAAATAAATAGATCACATATCATATACTTGAGACGGGCCTTGCAGTTATGTCCAGGAGTAGAGGCTTAGTAATTTTGTGAAAATTGAGTTTATATTGACGTTCATCTTTTTTGATTTATTTTTCTACGTTCTGTAATTGAAGAGTAATGATTCTATGTCGATTTCCAGAAAGTTCCAGGTGTGATAGCATTCTTCTCAGCTAAAGATATTCCAGGGAAGAACAGCTTTACACCCCTAGATGTTCCCTGGCAGGATGTGGTGGAGGAGATCCTTGCCTCCAAAAGAGTGTCTTACTATGGTCAGCCTATCGGCCTGATTGTGGCTGGGAACCAAAAGCTAGCTATCAAAGCTGCTGAGCTGGTTCAAGTCAAGTATAAGAAGATAGCTGACCCAGTACTGACTATTTCTGATGTCCTGGTAGCGCCCGATAAGGATAAAAGAGTATGTAATTTTTCAAGAAATCTTGTCAAATATGATTTTTTTTTTCGTGGATTTTCATTGCATTACACTCAGAGTTATATGGCCACTAAGGTCTACTCATAGTACAGATTTGGTGTGAAAATTCAACATAAGAGGAACATTTGAGTTTAAATTTTGGTAATTAGCATCACTTTTGAACAACGCTTGACAGTCGCTTAAGAGCGAGACAAACATATCAGTAATACGTTTGTCTCGCTCTGACACAGCACGCTCTGATTCTGATTTACTTCTAAATTAACCTTTTTTTTCAAACCAATAAAATCAGAGCCAAATATTAGCAACAAACATTTGAATCGTTATCCATACTAATAAGCAATTATAATTTACATAGCTACGTAAAGACGTGTCTACAAAAGCAAGTGATCGTGGTAAGGAGACCACACATGTTGTGAAAGGGGAGTTTACAATACCGGACCAGTATCACTACACAATGGAAACGCAAAGCTGCGCAGTTACCCCAACATCACGGGGACTGGAACTGCGCAGTGCTACTCAATGGATGGATCTCGTGCACGTCGCTGTAGCCAGGACGGTCAACTTGCCGCTAAACTGGTACATACATCTTTATGTTGTCCTGGTACTTTGTAATCGATTTAAAGATGGGCAATGTTTCTTTTGTAAGTTTGTTATATGTTAGAATTATTCCATAACTAGCTTTCGCCCGCGACTCCGTCTAATATGCCGTGTGCCAATCAAAATCCGTTTCGGAGATACTTTTAAGCAAACATCCATCCATCCATCCATCTATCTAAACATTAGCATTTATAATATTAGTAAGATGACGACAAGGATGTCACCGACCAATGATCTAGGCCAGATCTAGGGGGGGGGGGGGTCACCGGCCTCCCCTAGTGACGCCTTTGGACCTAATCTTGTTTGGTATAGTTTGATTCGTATTTTTTTATTTGTTTTATCATATATAGTTACAGTATGTTTGTAACATTTTGTCACACGTTACAATGTGATTGTAACATTATGCTAAATGTTACAATGTGTTATTGTCAAATTGTGTTACAAAGTCACATGGTATCATCAGTGTGGAGGTGTCAGTGCCGCGTCTGGGCGGGGGGTACGGTGGGAAGGGCTCGCGGTCTGCGCAGGTGGCATGCGCGTGCGCACTTGCTGCTCACCTGCTGCGTCGTCCCGCGCACCTCGTGATGCCTCTCACACACAACATGCACGCGATAGGCAAGCGTTCCGCCTGTCTATTTCAATACGAGGTAAAAAAACAGACATTTTTAATAGCTTTGGACTTTGTCGTACCTTTTTCCACCTAGCAATTTCTCTTCTTCCACTTTATAAAGACTTCTCAATTTTATTTTAGCAAGTTATTATATGTATTAATTTCCAGTTGGGAGTAAACGATGCTGGTGTGGTCCAGTATCTTAACATCACTTATTACTCTGACTGCGGTTGTTCGTACAACGACACCCAAACCTACTACCTAGCAGACAGCTTGAACAACTTGTATGATAGCAAGAGGTTTAATATCACAGGGTACAGTGTACTCACCGACAAGGCCTCTAACACTTGGTGCAGGGCTCCAGGTGAGTACGTCAGTTAGGTCAATTTAGCTTTGCTAAGGTCGTGTTACTTTGCAGGTTATGTCAAGGTTAATTTTGAGGTTACATGGATTAGAACAATGGATCTATATCATCATTAGCTCACTATATATCCCCACTAAGGGGCTCGGAGCTTGCCCTTAGTTAGAGGTGACTAGGCCATAGTCAAACACGCTGTACCAGTGCGGGTTGACTTCACACATATCTTTGAATCTCTTCGCAGTTATGTGCAGGTTGCATCACGATGTTTTTCTACACCGTCAGAACGTCAGATAAATGTACATATTTAAATCTAAAATAAAAAATGGTACATAGCGGGATTCGAACTTAGGACTTGCAGATCAAGTGCTAGTCAAGTGCTTTAACTGCTGAGTCACCGACGTTTTGAAGGATCTTTATGCTAAAAGAAAAAGTGTAAAAGATTACTGAACAGGTAAAAATGAGACGATCTGTTATCTCCTTATATTCCAGCAACAACAGAAGCAGCTGCAATCATGGAACACATAATGGAACGTATCGCACACGTAACTAAAAAAGACCCAATAGATGTCAGAATAGCAAATCTAGCACAAAAGAACGATCCACTCAAAGAAATGATAGCTACATTCAAAATGGAGATTAATTACGACGACAGAAAGTCTGAAATAGCTGAATATAATAAAAGAAATGCTTGGAAGAAACGTGCTTTGAAGTTATCCATCATGTCATTTAAGATAGAATATTCTGGAAACTATCCAGTGACGATATCAGTGTACCATGGTGATGGATCCGTGTTGATATCACATGGTGGCATAGAAATGGGACAAGGTATCAATACTAAAGTGGCACAAGTATGTGCATATGCTTTGGGTATACCTTTAGATAAGGTCCAGGTGAAAGGGGCAGATAGTTTCGTATCTCCAAACGCGATGGCCAGCAATGGCAGCATCACCAGTGAATGTGTTGCCTACGCGACGCTGAAGGCCTGCAAGGAACTACTGAAGAGATTGGAACCGGCAAAGAAAGGAATTAAAGAACCAACTTGGGAACAGATAGTTAAGAAATCTTATGATAATGGTAGGTACCAGGTGCTGCTAAATTGTACCTTAAATTATTTACTTCGTCTGTCCGCTAAGCCGCGTTTGTTTCGGATAATCTCCGGAACGGCTGTACCGATTTTGACGAGACTTTGACGGAAATGGAGCTAATGGACGCGCGCATGTTATAGGATATTTTTTTATTCTGCGCAGACAAAGTCTCGGGCTACCGCTAGTAATTTGGTGCTCTTTGTCTCTAGGTGTGAACCTGCAAACTAGTTCAATGACGTCACCGTTAGATTCTCTCCTCGGTTATGATGTTTACGGCGTGTGCTGTACAGAGGTCTGCCTGGACGTGCTGACAGGACAGCATCAGGTGTTGAGGGTCGATATCCTGGAGGATACAGGCCAGAGCATCAGTCCCAACGTGGATGTTGGACAGGTGAGTCAGCTTGCGGAAGACTCTGTGTACATCTTCCAGTGCAACTGTTGATGTCCTGATGAATGATTTTAAACCTTGTTATATATTATCAGATCGAAGGGGCATTCGTAATGGGTCTAGGTCTATGGACTTGTGAGAGGCTGCAGTACGCGAGGTCAGGTCGGCTGTTGACAGACCGTACGTGGACGTACAAGCCGCCCGGCGCTCTCGACATACCGATAGACTTTCGTATCAACTTTCGCAGGAATTCTACTAATAATGCTGGTGTATTGCGCTCTAAAGGTAACTTACAAATGTAGATACTTTTAGATATTACTAGTTAGAATCCTTTGGCGCGAATGAAGCTTTTATTATCTACAAATTCAAGTGTCAAAATTATTAGTGATGGGACATAAACGTCGACATTTTAGTAAGGCTAGTGTTGCGCCAGTATACCGGCACAGTGTCGGATTTTCTTCTTAACAATACTAAGACTTTTCCACTAGCAACTTATAATTATCAGGATTTTTATATTATAAGATGGCAACCCAGCATATGGCCACCTAAATTTGCTGAAATAGCGAAACACTGCCCATGGACATTTGTAATTGCAGCTGACTACCTTTAATCAATAGAGGAAAGGATGCACAGAACAATCCATCTATGTGTCCCCTCCTCCGTCAAATCAACCTCTCCTTTGTATAATTTCCTTGTAATGAAAGGGTGAGAAGGGAACATGTTAGTTTGGTTGAACGAGGAAAAATGTTTCTATAATTATGATTTTTTTATATAAATCCAGCGACAGGTGAGCCTGCGTTGGTGCTGGCTGTAGCTGTGACGTTGGCGCTGCACGAGGCTCTACTGGAGGGCAGGAAGGAGTTCGGATATGAAGATCATGATTGGCTACATGTTGGTATGTAACACAATTTCAACTTAAAAGAGATTACTGTTATTATTTAAAAATGTGCAAATTTGAAAAAAAAACTTTATTTATTTATTTATTTTAAGCTTTGTACACAGTTTAAAGTACATAAAGTAACAATACAGAAATACAGTGATGTACATGTGAGGTTAACTCTAAAAGAGTTCTCTTACAGCTAACCTTACGATACCGAGATGATATATATAGTGGGTAATAACTGTATGTGTACAAGTAAACATAAGTAAAATTTAATATAATCTTTTATACGCTTAACCCTTAGATGCAAATAAGGCAAGATGCGTTTCACGTTATTTTATTGAAGTCGTGCGGTATGTGTTTCCGAACGCACTTTGACGACCATAGATTATAAATATATTGAATGTCAAAAAATAAATTATGCAGTTTCGGCGGCAAATCTATTTTTTTGACATTTCTATTTAACGGTCGACTAAGTTTATAGAGTTAAGTATAAGAAGCGTCTCCGTAATTTTGTATTCATTGATATACGAGTGCTATTTATACCAGATTTTTTCATTATTTTTTATGTTATATATACCTAAATACCTACCAGGAAACATTTTTTCCAGGGCTCAATAAAATGCATTTAAGGGTTAATATAATTTTATTTATGGAAGTTAGTACTTATTTTAATTATTTTCTTGCAGATACACCTTACAGCATTGAAAACATAATGAAAGCGCTCGCTCACAAAATACAAAGCTTTAAACTTCAATAAAAATAATGATTTCATATGAATTAGACATTTTTAAGATTTTAATTTTTTATTTAATCATTTTATGTTTACGTTATTACATATTTTATACAATATTAAAAGTATGCGACTATTAAAATCCTTTTATTTTCCTTCATACTTACTGTAGCATTCGTTGCGCTATATTTGTCTCGTTCACGTACCGACACGTGTTGCCGGCTCAAAGGTCTGACATCGACTGACGTCCCCTCTCTCCGGCATGTACTTATGGCGTGTACGCACGAGACAAACAACACTACGTTTACGCATACACTACACTTACCTACACTTACTTAAATTTTATCAACTAATCTTACTAATATAAATGCGAATGCTTCAATGGATGGATGTTAGAAGGAATTTGACACAGATATAGAACAGCCTTGAAGAACACATAGGATACTAATTATGTTTTTTTTCCGCGCAGACCGAGTCGCTGACAACAGCTAGTAACTATAACTACTAGGTTAAAGAAACAGACATATCTTTTGTATATTATTCCAATTGACTCTATCTAAAAGAAAAACAATAAGTAACCAAATTCTTTATTAAAATTTAATTAATTGCAACTCATAACACGTTACGTAATATAAAGTTCTCGTTACAAATTATTCACTAAAACACTTCATTAATTAAAGTCAACATCAGAAAAGAAGCGACACCACTCAGCATCAGTGTGTGGGTCACTGTGAGCCATTCGTCATTCCATGCCAGGTGGTAATGGCTCTATGGGGTTGCCAGGTTGAGGTTCCTGAAAACAAAAGGGTCTTAACAGACTGACAGACGGACAACTTTCGTCTTTTTACTTTAAAGGAACCCTAAAAATCACAATCTTACTTCTAAAAAAATACGAATGTTTTGCTGGATGTTTTTTTTAAATTCTCTAGTTACATAGATCTCGTTGAAATTAGGCATAGATGTAGAATATAGTCTGGAAGAACACATAGGCCACTAAGTTTTATTAATTCCGCACGGACAGAGCCGCGGGTGACAGCTAGTACAAATTTAAAAATCAAAACAGTTTTCAACAATAAAAGAGACAGCAAAAAGCTCTCGAGAGGCATTTGACTTTGCCTTACGTCGCTTGCCTCAAGGCAGATAACTTACCATAGCGAGCTGCTGCAGAGGTCCGGGTAACGAGGCAAGTGCAGGTGGAGGCAGCGCGACCAGCAGCGGGCGGACGCCGGAACTGCCCAGCGCCTGCAGACGCTCGCAGCACTTCACCCAACCCTCCCATGCGACCTTATGACGCCATACCTGGAATATTTTGTATATATCATAAGGTGCAAAATAAGCAAACGGCCACCTAGATTCGCCGAAATAGCGAAACGATTTAATGTATTTTATTTTGTAAAGTCATGATTTGTGCATGTATACACAATATTCGGATCTAAGACCGACAAGAATCTACTGGCTTTAATTTCAATTGAACTTTTTAAGCTAAAATCTTAATTAATTTCGTCCATATAATTAGAATATAAATAGCACAAAGGTGGATACCTCCTTGTCGATGAGCAGACTGAGTATGTGTGTAGCGAGTGCGGCCAGGGTGGGGTGCAAGGTGAGTGCCTGCAGCACGCTGCGCATCATCAGCACCGGGATCTCCCGCTCCTCCGCCAGACGCTGCAGCACCGCTGACAGCACCTGTACACCGCACACATTTACAAACTAACACTATATTAATAGACTAGCTGAGCTTACATTTACAGACTAGCTAAGGCTACATTTATAAACTAGCTAATTTTACATTATCAGATTAACTGAGGAAATATTTTCAGACAAACCATGCTACATTTTTAGATAAGTTAAGGTGACATTTACAGGCTAGTAGAAACTACATTTACGGACTAGTAGAAGTTAAATTTACAGGCTAGTAGAAGTTACATTTACGGACTAGTAGAAGTTAAATTTACAGGCTAGTAGAAGTTACATTTACGGACTAGTAGAAGCTACATTTACGGAATAGTAGAAGCTATATTTACGGACTAGTAGAAGTTACATTTACAGGCTAGTAGAAGCTACATTTACGGACTAGTAGTAGTTACTCTTTTACTATTTTAGTTTACTTTCCAGACGAACTATCGCTATTCATACATACTAAGGCTACATTTACAGAATAGCTAAGTATAAATTTATAGACTAGCTGAAGCTACATCTATAGACAAGTCGAGAATCTCTAATAAGGAAAATAATGAAAGTAAACAGAGATATATTAAGAGAAGGGATATTTGTATTTACTTACGTCCTGTGTGTACGTGTTCTTCTCAGCGAAGCAAATGGCAGTCGCCTTGATGATGTACTTGAGGTCAGCTTTGCTCGGGTCTATAAGGTGCAATTCCACTAAAAGGTCTTGCGGTGAAACTGAAAAAAGTATAACACATATATGTTTGATTTCACTTGTTTTCTTTAAAGATGACTTTATTATTTATTCTTATAATAAGTTTAAAATATTTATTGATTTAATTATTTTTATTTATTTTATATTTAACTGAATTACTACAAATTGTACTTACAAATTATTATATCTGTGAAATAAAGTAAATTTTAAATATAACAAAATAACCAAACAATTAGTAAAAGAAAGCAAATAATTTTTATTGCCTTTTCAATAACTAGTTGTCGTCCGCGACACCGGTCACACGGTATTAAATAAAAACATATGCAGCTTATGTGTTCCTCCAGATTATGTTCTACATTTATGACAAATTTCATTGAGATCCGTTGTAACGTTCTGGAGATACATTCAAACAAACATCCATCCATCCAAATATTCGCATTTATATTAGTATGATTATTTCCAGAACAGCTGAGTTTATCTAGCTGAAATTTGACATACATATAGAACATAGTCTGGAAGAGCACATAGGCTACTAATTATGTTTTTTTTAACCATCCTAACTTACCAGGTGGTTCTTCATCCATTGAGTTCTGAAGACCCAGGAGTTTGTTGAACACTTCTCTGACCACAGCGGGATTCAGTTTAATCAATTTTGGTAATGCTGCGAGGATCTAAATAAATATTCGGAACATTAGTTTTAATACACCTCTCTGTTTATTTCAATATAAAAGAGTAGGATGGAAATATTGTTGGTTTTTTAGACATTATCAGTTAGAATCCTTTGTCGCGAATGACGCGTTTTCGTTACAAAGTCAAGTGTCAGAATGAATAGTGAGGGGACATAAACGTTGACATTTTAGTAAGGCTAGTGTTGTGCCAGTACACCGATACAGTGTCGGATTTTTTTTTAACTGTTTTAAGTTAAAATATTCATGGAAAAAAGGAGATTTGACGTTAAAAGGACTTAAATAATCATTAATTAGGTCTGAAAAAGTTAAATCTAAATTGTTTAGGTAAAAAAATTACATAATTTTTTGACAGTTTCCTTTAGAAAGGCTCATATTTTGTTGCAATTTGTACTATACCTAGTAAGGAGAGAGGGGGGATGGTAGATTTTTGTAGTCTAAGGTGAACAAGTGATTCGCCAAAATAACAAAGAGACCGTATTCTGCAGTTGCGAGATATTTTAGCTAATAAATCGGGTTACTTACCTCTTTTTTTGAGAGTCCCGTAAGAACGGGAATCAGGAAACGCACGTCGGATACTCGAGTCGCGTACAACTCACGCACTTTTGACACCAACTCCGGAGTAGGGGGTGCTAAAAAGTAAAAAATAATATTAAAAAAAAATCTAGAAAAAGTTACCAGTATTTTTTTTAAATTGAACTTTCTAACTAAACTTTACACTCTAAAATTAGTATTAAAAATGTACCAAAAGGTTCAGAATATAATACTGCTTTAATAAAAAAAAATCTTAAAAACAAAAAACAAACAATGAGACATACATTTCTCAGTAAGTATATGCACGAGCCGGGTGAGCAGAGTCTCAGCTCCGCGCGGACACTCGTCCAGCAGCAGGCGGAAGGCGGGGCGCAGCGCGGGATGGGCGGGGCCGTGGGGCGTGGTCGCGGCTCGCACCGGCCCCTCCAGCGCTCGCAGCACACAGCGCTTCGCCTCCGCGCCCGCGCTGCCGTACACACGCGCCATCTCCAATATCAACTCTGTACACAAACATCGACAAAACAAATTAATTAAATGTCATTTTACATACATATCAAAAAAATTGGAGTGTCTGTATATCGAGAAAAAACTATTACACATAAAAGGCTATTTTTTAAATACGATGCTGATGAAGTCGCGGGAGGCCGCTAGTTAACACATTTTTTTCGATTTTATACTTGCCTTCTTTCTCCGGGAACAATGCTATGACGAGGCTCAAGCACAGTTTGTACTGCTCTTCGGTCCATACCCTGGCGTGTCGCGGACTGATGATCTCCGGGGGGGTAGACAGTGTTATAAATCCCAGATGAAGAAGTGCATTCTTCTCTATCACACGTCGTGCGGAATCTGTGCTGTTCTTGTACACTTTTAGTGAAGATTTTAATGCCACTTCGCGGATTTCTTCGTTGTCACTCACTGAAAAGTGTTACAATGGTGTAAATATTTTTATCCTAGTACTAGCTGTCGCCCGCGACTCCGTCCGCGTAAATATAAAAAAATACTTAATTAATGTAGCCTATGTGTTATTTCAGACTATGCTCTATACGTATGCCAAATTTAATCGAGATCCGTTCAGCCGTTCTAGAGATATCTTCAAACACCCATCCATCCATACACATCAGATCCATCGAAACATTCGCATTTATAATATTAGTAAGTTAAATAAAAAGCAGCTTTTCAAGGCATAAATTCGAAAAAAAGAATAAATAGTATCCTATGTCCGTCTCCTGGCTCTAAGCTACCTCCTCACCAATTTTCAGACATATCGGTAAAGCCGTTCTTGAGTTATAAATAGTGTAACTAACACGACTTTCTTTTATATATATAGATGTGGTATAATTTATTGCTTTGCTTGATAGATTACTTGACAATTTAAAACTAACGTTTTTTTTTGCTTAATAAAACGGAAATATCAATATAAACAGAGATCAGATCTTTATACTACTAGCTCTTAGACTATGATTTATACAGGATGTTCTTTAAACAAAAAATCAAAATCAACTTTGTGAGAGTTAAAGATTCAGAAACAACCTTTATAATTTACAAAATATCTGAAAACAAAATAGTTAGAAAATCATTAAAGCTACAATAAAATAAGATTTACTCACAAACATGTGGAACTAACGAGGCGACATATTTATGAGCTCTCGGTGGTCGCATCAAACACAACTCTTCCAACAAATCCAATGCTAACAACGCCATTTTTTCTTCACTAACCAAATGTTTTAAATAATCAATCGCCTCCTCCGTTATCACCGGAGATTCTAAATATATCTTCCTCATTAATATATCTTTACTATTTTCCATCAATGGATCACCTCTTTCGCAAATTTGAGTTATCAAAGAACATAGAAGTTGATTATAATTTTGATCGTGTTTTTCATTAATATTCTTCAAAGTTAACGGATGACGATTAAATCCTTGCATTATTGAATACTCCTCATACAACCAGGATAATGCTAAATCAATTCTATTTACTGGATCTTCAAGTATATAATGTAGTACTAATTCTCTTATATCAGATGTGTAACTAGATGCAAATATCGTTATAAACTTTGTACGTATTTGTTCAGCACCACCAATTATGCAATCTTGTTCAGCTCTTAATATTCTTTCAACGGCTTGTAACATTAATTTCTCTTTTATATCTTTCGGTATCGGTCTCGTTAATTCTTGTAATTTTAATAATTTGACTTTTTGTTTCAATTTTGGTATTGACGGTGTCGGTGGAGCGACTAACTTCTCTTTCTCTTTTGTCTTTCTCTCTTCCGCTTTTATATGCTCCTGTCTAGTTTCTTCCATTAATTTGGATACAGCAGACTCCATTTCTCTTTCAGCTTTAGCGGATTCTTGTAGTTTAGCAACTGCATTCTTTAGAGTTACTTTTTCATCATCGTCTCTTAATAATGGTATTTTAGTTGTGGTTTCAGATAATAATGGTGGTTGTATCGGAGTGGGCGTGGGATTTAGGGTGGGCGTGGGAATAAGAGTGGGAGTGGGATTAAAAGTGGGCGTGGGAATTAAAGTGGGTGTGGTGGGAATCGGTTCATCTTTAATTAATGCTAATATCATTTTAGCTAGACTCTTCTTTTGTGTTTTAGTACCAGAATTTGGTATAGGTTTGTAAGCTGTTATAAAATTACTCGGCATTGTGGGTGGAAGATGATTTAAGAGGGTAGACATGATTAGATTGACAACACAATCAATGTTGTTCAATCCATCGAATATAGAGTCTTCAGTGACCGAAGCTTTACTTATATTAAAGCTATTCTGACTACTATCATCTTCGTATGTAAATTCACTGCGACTATTACTATCGCTTCCTTGACTATAACTTTGTGGTGAATCTATTCTAAGTTTTTTAACTGGATTATCATCTTTAATTTCATTGACACGTTTATTCCTTCTTTCTTTTGGTACAATTTTATTTATCTCTTGTGGTGTCATACCTATATCAGCGAGGAGTTGTGTCAAATTTGGTAACATATCATTTGATGATGGATGTTTAATTAAATTTAAAAGAAGCATTTTTAAATGTTTTCTCACTGAATTAACTTGAGATTGTGAGAGAGTTGGCGGTAAGGTTGTATGTAAGTCGCCTAATGCTTGGACAACTCGTGGCATGTACTTAGGTCTTAACTTAGCGAGTAGACATAATGTTGTCATGCAGGCCATTAAGTTAACACTTGATATATGTTGTGAGTTGTGGAATTTTAGTAATAACTGAAATATGTGCCTGGAATAAATATTATAAAACATTATGACGTCATGGAAAAATTTTAAGGGCTTCGGAAGATAAATTAACTTCAATTCTAGAACAATTGAATTTGAAATAAGCAAGAATTGTTTCATTGAGAAATCTATATAAGCCAGTCATTATCCAATCAAATGAACAACTATGAGAAAAACAATTAAGAGAGAAATTCGGGTTAGAGAGCACCCTGTATAAGCGAGAAAAATGTTGCGATCTTTTTTTGGTTCTATTGTATATTAACACTAAGCAAATATTTACACAGACAAAACACATTAAAAAATTATATCTCTATCTCTATTTTTTTTTAATACACATGGTGGCAAACGAGCGAGTGACCGTTGCCCATATTATGCGTTGCCTACATTTAATGGACGGAGGACAGGATGCGCAGAAAGAAAATATTTTCCCTTTCCATGCATCCTCTCATCCGGAAAGTCCACTACCACTTCCCATCCTTTCCTTACAAGAAAAAGGGTGGGAAGGGAAAGAGGATTAAATTAGGCCTCCGGGACGCACACTTATCAGACGAAACGCGGAATTGCTTCCACTTCACGCCTGTCTTCTGTGTGGTCGTGGTATTTCACCGGGTGAGCTGGGAAAATTCATGCGAAGATGTTAAAGCGGGCTCTACCATTGTTAAAGCAATTGAAAGAAATGACAATTTGTTTTTATACATCACATAATATCACACTTACTCAGCCTCTTCCTCTAATGCATGCCGTTTCAGGAACGGCAAGTGAGCGGGTAACTTATCCAGTGTGAACTCATCTTCGGAATCCTCACTGGAGCTCTGCAGCAGAACAACTTCTTCCAGAAACTTTATAGAGTGTGTTCTAATACCCTCATTCTCACTGTCTATCATGTTTAAAATCAATAACTGGAAAACAATTGTGCAAAAATCAAATAAATGAAGATCAAAATTATAAAACAACTAGCTGTCGCCCGCGACTCCTTCCGCGTGGATATATAAAAAAACTTAATTAGTGTAGCCTGAGTTCTTTCAGACTATGTTCTATATATATGCCAAATTTAACCGAGATCCGTTCTGCCGTTCTAGAGATTTTGAAGTATTGCATATACAGAGCTAATTTATAGCTATGTTCCATTTCTATCGAATTTCACAACAGTAATAAATACAAAAGTTTAAAAATCTATCTTACTAATATTATAAATGCAAATATTTGAATGGATGGATAGATGTTTGTTTTGTAGAAGGTATCTGAGAAACTTCTGTATGGATCTTGCTGAAGTTTGGCATAGATGTAGAACATAGTCTGGAAGGTTTGCATGGACGGACTCGAATACAATCATCATCATCATCAGCTCACTATACGTCCCCACCGAGAGGCTCGAAGCCTACCCTAAGTTAAGGGTGATTAGGCCATAGTCAACCACGCTGGCCAAGTGCGGGTTAGTTGACTTCACACATATCTTTGAATTTCTTCTCAGATATGTGCAGGTTGCATAACGATGTTTTCCTTCGCCGTAAGAACGTCGGATAAATGTACATATGTAAATCGGAAATCGAAAAACACATTGGTACATGGTGGGATTCGAACCCAGGACCTACAGATTGCAAGACAAGTGCTTGACTACTGAGCCACCGATGCTTAATCAAATACAATATCAATATTATATATATTAGTTGAACAGACCTTTAATTTATTAAGATGTTCCCAAACATGTTGCATCTCTTGTATTTCAGCATTACTCTTGCAAAGCCATATTAGTACATTCCGGTATGCTATACTGGCTGCCTGTATGGCACGCTTCTGTACTGCTATCACTGAATCTATCACTAACATTTGCAGTTGTCCAATTATCTTTGGCAGGTATTCAGGATATTGTTTACTAAAATTATTAAAAAAAGTTGTTTTCATAAGAGCACTCTTAAGAGCACACAAAATCATGTGTTTGTCTAGACTGTGCCAAATGTTGGATGAACAATTCTTTATATTAAAATGACAAGCAATTGGCTTCCCGTAAAGCTTAAAATGAAAAAAAAATGTGTTCATTATTGTTGCTTGTAGACATAGTTTGTGGCAATAGTGAAATGATAAGAATAAAACCAAGAACTGCAAGATTATATTCATAACTTCAACTATTCAGCTATTGAAGGTAAAGTTAACAAGTACCTTGTTTCGCACAGTATTTCTTAACTCAAAAGAAAAATAATTAGTGTATTGATTGTGCTCAGTGAAAAAAACGTACCTCAACTCTTCAATGAACGCAACAACCTGCTTTTTGACATCAGTAGATTTGTCACTGACAAAACTCAAAACATTTTCTATGTACATAGGAATGGTTTGAGGTGCTTGATGTATCATAACTTCCATTATTTTTCTTAATAAATTCGCCCTTTTTGTACCTTCCGATAGGCCTGCATCGTTTATCCATTGTACCAGCTGAAATTGGAAGGGAGAATGAAAGTCATTTGATTAAAATCTGTGTATTTTTAGTGACAATCGAATGAAATTCGTTTATCAGACACGAACCTGCGCTTGGGCATTGACTTGAGAACTTTGATGATATTTACTAGCCATTTTAAAGTATCTAATTACTCCTAAAGATAATCTTCCTTTAATCTAATGCAGCAAAATTGTTATCATTTTGCAGAAAGCAAAGGGCCACAATTGTAGAATCGCCACCAAGTAGATAATATATCGAACTCTTATTTATAAGATTCGAGATCTAGTCGTATTTAAATTAAAGAAAAGCTTAGATTGGAATAAATTTATTAATTATATACACTTAGTATTTATAGATAAACTCTTTCAAATTCACATTGCAATGGACCTCAACGCGTCCGATTTACAATGACAGATGAGTGACAGTTGATGATTGACATTGACAGTACATTTTTTTTAAATTTTATGATCTGGTAACGTAGACCTTTAGGTCTTATTTGACAGCACATTGGTTGAAATCAGGCAAGCGAAACTTTTATAATCTGTGCTACAAAAATGGAACGCAAACGGAGATCCTGATTTCTTTACATTTAAAGTTTGGATTATAAATAAACAACAATTTAATCTAGTTAATTTAAGTATGAAATTTTAAATTTGGCGTTGGTAGCAGATGCGCGGATCTGCGGATCTGTGATGCCCCGTATAACTATTGCCGATATCAGCTCATCGCTTAACCCCCTAATGATACGTAATCGTAAAAGGGACCTACGAGCATAATCAGCAAAATCAGAAGCTATCCGAATTGGTGCTCATAACCTCGTATAGAATGTTGGCTATGTCTGGTTTTTTTTGGACATAAAGGCTTAAATTCGTTTTTAAAATTACTCCAACGGCGGTCATTTGTTACCCATTCACTGAGCCACGTTTTAGCATCTCCTTCTAAACAATTGCCAATGCGAGAAAGACATTCGTGATCACTCCAATTATTAGATGACCTAGCATGGTCTACTTCTTCACACCATGTCATTAACACTCGGATCAAAATTAGAAATATAATAAGACTGGTTAGATCTCACCGGTATATTTATGGATCGTATCGCATCGATGATGCGATCGGCGGCGCTGGCCTGGACTGACGTAGCGCTCGCTGGACGCTCCGGTGAGGACGGAGTCGTTGAAGCCAACCGCTCTGGGCGCCCTTGAAGCGAGCTCGCAGTCACAACTTCGCCCAACTGCGACGGCGGCGGCATCGACACGGTAGGCTCAACGGCAGGAACGGGCTCGCTGCTGATGGTTGTCACAGGCACCGCGGACCTGGCCACTTTCACTGCGGCGCGGCCACTTGACCCCTTTCGATGAGATGAAGACACTACCTGTTGTTCCTCTAATGACACCAATCTATTCAAAATTTGTTGCATTGTTTCGGTTAAAATATTGCTAGAAGGGCTACGCCGTCTGTAGCGCGAATCATGTTGGCTAGAATGCGATCTGCGCTTTCGCGACCGACTTCTATTCTGCCCCCTCTTATTAGGCATGTTTTCTTTTTTTTTTTTTAGCAAGTATTTCAAATTAGACGTAATTCGAAGCAACGCATACAAGTTACGGTAAATAATTGATCAGCAGGGTAAGCACGGCAAAATATTAAAGTTGAGCCATTTAAACATTTTCACAACAAACTAACAAATTCAACTTCTATTCGTTATTTTAAAACGGAGAATAAAATAATTGGAACGTACTCACCAAAGTTGACATTATAAAACTTGATCACACAGTCACATCACGTCTTACTTACGTATATTATACGAAACACCGAAAACAAAGTGCTAATTTGTCCTTTTAAACAAGGGTAGTTACAATTTCCAAAAATATATTTCTGATCGTATGTCTAGCCAATTAAAGAAATAACAATGGAAACACATCGTATCAGGATGTACAAACAAGGACGTGGGAGTTTCACTATCCCACTTCTGATCTTAAGGATCAGAAGCAGGGAAAATTAAAAAAAACAATCTCTTATACACTACTACAGTACTTTTTGAATTAATAAGAAAACTAACAGAATTGAATAAATGTAATTAACACTAAAATGATTTACAAATACAACATTAACTTAATCAACTATCAGAGTTAAAATGATTAATTATTTTGGCTAGTCAAACGGGCAGAGCTTCCGCTGGCTTCAGTGTTCGGTGGCGAGTGTGGCCCGAAAATGAGGGTGCGGTCTCTTATATTAGCATCACTCCACCCTGTCGGAGGAAGCCATTGTGATTATATTTAAAATAGGAAGTTATTAAGTAGCCATTGTCAACTGAATTACTGTTTAACGTATAGTGTGCAATTTTTAATGTTTATTGATATTGTAAAAGCTTCTAATAACTTTTAATTTGATCTTACTTTATAAGTTACGTTTTTCCTAGACTAAATAACATTATTATCGTAATTTAAGTAACGACCAATCAGAGCAGAGCCAGGTGGGCTTGAGAGGGGTCGAGGCACCATCTTTATATACGGCGTTTTGACAGTTGTTACGAATATAGTCGTGAAGTGGAGACGGATCGAGTTGCTTGCACTTTGTCGTCGAGAAAAGTGTTTCTCCGACTGTTTCTGCGGCAGTTGAGTTTACTACGGAAAGTGACGCCTCCGCCGTCTGTCGGCGTTCGATGGGTCAACACCTTACCAGCCAAGGCACGGCAGCAGAACACTTCTGCTGTGGGTGCCGACTGGAACGGACATTGGATCATCGCGCGTTACTTGAAGATTAAATTGTCATTTGAAGATTGAAAAGTGGACGATGAACCCTTCTGCAATCGGCAACCCACCTAATTTTTTTTTTTCATAGGGGAATGCTTTATGTGGGATGCTCCTCCATAGCGGAGGCATACCCACTGAACCCCTCTGTTCCTATATAGTGTTTATTATTTTATTGGATTTATTTTAAAATGTTTTTAACTTTTTAACCTTTTAATTTTACATTTTTTAATTGTTTTAATGTTTTTTAACCTAGATGTAAGAAAAGAATGTGATATAATTTTAAGACTATGTAATTGATTTTTAAACACTTAAAATAAAGAAATA